GGAAGCACTGCACTGAGAATGTGTCCATTGGAGCCTTCAAAGGCCCATCTCAAAAGACCCACTGCTCCAGCAAGGCCCCACTTCCCAGTGTTAACAGCTGGATCCCCACACCATGACGAGCTGTAACACTTTGTATTCAAGACCTAGTAGATGGGGTCAATTATTTGATCTCTTTATGGTTCTAATTTACTCCTGCAATTTTGATTAAAACAGTAACCCTGTTTCAACTATACAAACTGCCATGTGCATGAATATTGGCTCCATGCTTCCAGGATCAAAAACTATTATTTGAATTGTTTTCTAAAATTTAGTGTTCACTGGCCATTTCTAACATAATTAATGGCTTGTGTTTTCACATATTCTGTGATTTTATGTTATCTCTCAACTCCCTGTTTCTGTTTTCTGATCTCAATCATTTTGTGTCTGACTAGCACCATATGGATATTTATTTCAAGCCTCCTTTTATTTTGTTTAGCTGAAGACTTGATAAGGGTAAAATTTTTTTTATCACAACCTTTGTCATTAATAACAATAGAGAGCACTTATTGCTCTTGCAGAGGCCTTAAGTTGGATCCCCAGCACCCACACTGTGTCTAACAACTGCCTGCAACTCCAGGTCCAGAGGACCTGACACCTGCTTCTTGCATTCAAGGGCACACAAACATAGTACACAGACATATATGCAGATGAAACCCTGCAAAACCCTAAAAGAAAAATAAAACTTAAAGATAAAAAAAAAGTAAAACACTCCAAGATATTATGTAAAGTAAAATCATGTTTCTTTCAATGAGCATTAGGCAATAGAATTTGAATTAAAAATTATTTGCCCAGATTCCAACAGATTTTCTAAGCCACAGATTGCTATAAACAATGGATGGCAACTCTGTAAGGACAAAAATCACATTTTATTGGATAGTTAGACTCATCTTGGTGCCAAAGGTATCTAAAGTTTCATCCTATGTGCAGGAAAAGTTAGCACTCACTATTCCTTATTCACCTGGTACAAACACTTCCTAAAGAGGCAAACAAAAATTCTGGCTTAATTTTTCTCTCTCCAAAACTGAAATAATCCTAACTCCACAAAAAGTCAGAGCATGCATTAGACAGAAAACAACCATAAGCGAATAAATTTCTGTTTAAAACTAACGCACATGCATATGCTATACTTACTAGGGGTAATAGCACACAGAAGGAAAAAAATAGCACGCAGAAGTGGGAAAGAAAATGGATTTAGACTCTGTGAACTTTGTGGTGATTCTGAACTGAGGTCCTTGGCAACCCCCATTGGGAGTGATTGGGAATAGACCTTATAAAACTGTGAGCATTTCTACATTTCTGTTTACTCCTGAGTTGAATGATGGTCACTTCTTGCCCTTAAGGATCTTAGAGCTTAATACGGCCCCATTTGTACCCAAACTTTAGTTTTATTTTCTACACACCCTCATAGATCCCCTTCAATATTTCCTCATCTATAAGCTTCACAACTATTTCTGGCGAGGACAGACCCTTCTCTGTCTCCAGCAGCTCCTGTGCCTCCTGGGAAGGACTGGCACTGCCTGGATCCCTCTGCTGCCCTCTCATGGCTACAATTCTCCCACCAACATCTCTGTAAAGGCTAGAAATGGCAGGTGGCTTCATTTATGGTGTGTGCCATTATAGATGATAGGAGTGGAAAAGAAAAACTTGTCAAACAGTTTTAGGGGCAGAGACCCTGGAAGTGAACAGTTTTAATTCTCTTTCTTGACTAAAAGTTGGAAATATCTTTCATCCTGTCTGGAGTGCTGTTCTTACCAGGGGCCAGGAATGCCAGGGAGAGGCCTGCTTCCTGACTGCTTAATTCTTTTCCTAAGTGAGCACAGGTGCCTGGAAGTTGAGTATAAAGTCTGTCTATAGCTGAGAGGAGACCATTATGGGTGGGCCAATTGGTCTGAATGACTCACCCAGGTTTCCACCATTAGCCCTCTACAAAGCCCCAAGATCAGCACCTCAATGGTACTTCATTTCCTGGGTTCAGCTCCAGATACACAGGATTTCTACCTCCTTTCTTTCTCTGTTGTTCTCCAGAAGTCAACTTATTTCCAAAACTGACCCTCTGTAATCCATTAATTTCATTCTTCAGATGCTCTAGATCAAAGATGAAGCTACTGACTCTGAAATTTTTCTGTGCCTGTGAGCTAGCTCCCTAAGTTCTGAGTGAAGCCCTTCCCGAGATGAGAAAGCCTCCACTGAACTCAAAGTCTCCCAGCATCACCCGTGTCATTGGTGGGCTTTCCAGCTATGCAACATCCCACCCATCTAGCAAACAGTCAGTGCACTAGAGACAGAAGAGCTGGCGATGATATGCGATGGAGTCTTGTTCTCTGTTAGAGCCATCTCCCTGGCACAGAATGAGCAGATGATGTCACAGTGACCTGTGTTAGTAGTTACTGATGGAGAATCAAGTGCACTCATCCTTAGACACAATGATGAATTTTTAAATCTTTTAAATTTTAGTTTATGTGTATCAGTGTTTTGCCTGCTTGCATGTCTGTGCAGCACTTGTATGGCTGGTTCCAGCAAAGGCCAGAAGAGGTCATTGGATCATCTGATATTGGAATGACAGATGTTTGAGAGTGGATGTTTAGTGCTAGGAATTGAACTCAGGTCCTCTGGCAGGGAGGCCAGTGTTTTTATCACTGAGCTCCCTACCCAGCCCTCTTAGACACAATTTTAAAGGACATAAATTTACAAGGGCACCTTAATCTCTGTTGCTGATTTACTATAAAAATGTTCTCAAGTGTATTCTCTTGGAGGTATAGATTTATTCATTTCTTTAAATGCATACATATTTAAAGTTTTAAAAGAGATTGCCTGCTGCCAGAGTTGTTAAGGGTTAATGACTGAGTAGCTTTGAAAGTCTATTAAGAGAAAGCCGGTATCACCATAGGCTGAAAAACAGAATCTTCAGCCATTGCCTCCTCTATAAATTAATCCAATTGTGCCAGCAAACTGAGTAGCCATGGTACCACCCATCCCGGGAAGGTGGGCTCCCACTAAACTACTCAACAGAGGTGGGAAGAATAATTATGCCTTTAATGAGATAATGCACTTTTCCTTCCCAGATACCCTACTTCCTAGGGCAGTTCCTTCATGGTGTCAAGAAGTTGTTGGTCGGCCTCTCTTTCTGAGTCTTAGCTCAGAGATGTGTAACTTTTTCCTTTCTTTCCCTTCTCACTCTTTTGGGTGTTGGCCCCAATCTGAGTCTGCCTTTTCAGGCAATTTGGACTCCCTTACCCTTTCTTGAAAGCTTTTTTCTGTGCTGTATAGCTGCTTGTCCATCCTACGGCTGACTTCCAAGCAGGCTTAGTGCCCTCTTCTTAGTCTTCCACAGCTTCCTCTTCCAGGCAGGTGCAGAGATTTAAAGCTTGTTTGCTTTCGGGGTTTTCTTTTAAACTAGCAAGATTGACTTTGAGCTTCCTTTCGAGTTCATTCTTGAATCGTTTGTATATGAGACCAAGAGTCCCAAGAGCTCTGATATCCTCAGTAGCACATGGTGGCGTGATCATGAAGGAACAGCCATAATGACCAAGAGCTCTAACTAATTGGGCTTGGCTACCCATTATCAATGAACCACCTGAAGAGTCAGATGCAGGGAAGTACAGGAAAAGAGTTCAATGTGGACGATCTGGTCCACAGTTCATCTCGGGGTGCTCACATGAGGTTTGGTTTAAATGGACGGCAGGAGCTATGCCTAACTGCTAAGTAGTCTTGGCTAAGGTGTGGTGTTGCCCATCTTGGTCTTGGCTCCACCCCTTGCTGCAATGTCTTCTGACAACGTTTCAGAAGAAAATGAAAGCACTTCCTGGGAGGCAAGGGCCTTCTCTGGCTGCCACCAGGCCTCATCTTTTTTCTTCTGGCAGCACGACATGCCTGAGGAAGTTCCAGTTCCCTGGGAACTACTGGTCAATAGTTTGATAGCTGAAGGAGAGGCGCAAATGCTTCTCTTCAGAATGTCTTCTTTTCTTCCAGGACAATTTCCGACCTCCAAAAATCAAGGCAGCAGGTGCACACTGAGAACAGAACTAAGCCAGCTCCCTTTCTCCTTGGGAAAGAGTCATCACTGTGCAATTATTTAGTCAATTATAACCAATTAAACTCTGAAGAGAAAAATGTGGGTCAGCAAAAGAGTCACTAAAGGATGATACAATAGCCCAGAATCAGGGACTCAGAGGAGTTGTTCAGGCCAAGGGTTTGGCCTTGAAGAAGGGTTGGGCAATCCAGGAAAGAGAAAGAATGGACTCCTTTAAAAGGGAAAGGGAAGTGAGCAGCTGCCTAGTTTCAACCAATCCCTGGAGAGCAGACTGCATCACAAATACCAGTATAGACTGCAAACGATAATTCTGATTGGAGCTAGAGAAAGCGTCATGGGAAACTCATATTAGTGTTTTACTGCAGAAGGTGGACTTTCATAGACATAAAGAAGCTGGGAAATCAGACACCCTAGACAAGATGAATTACACGAAGACTGTAAAATCCTTGCTCTTAGCACATCAGGAGAATTTGTTTGTTTTCTTCTTAGTTCCCCTTTCAGCTTCCTGAAGAATACCATGAAATTTGTTGCCAATGTTGTTTACAATCAAGTTGTCATGTTTACACGTCCTTGAAAAGTTGGTTTTATTCTTTAATAAATGAAAAACGATGCCATTGTCCCCTCCAAAATAGCTGAGGTTTTACTTGAAGCAAATCTGTTTGGAAATGTTAAGCTGGTTACACAGAACGAATGCGCCTCAAGGTGGTCATTCTCTCTGGATTAAAGCCTGGGAACAATTGTGGCTCCTGTTACAAGGAAAATTACAATGGGCCATTATGGAAAGGGACAAAAATCTCTGTTCCCAGAGGGGGACTGACAAGCTGCAAGTCCCCTTCTGCATGCCAGCACAAAAGCCTGATTGCTTCGGATTGTTTGTTTATGCAAATCGAAGAGCAACATTAATTCGAAGAGTGGGGTTGTGGAGTGGCGAGAGGCTCCTGATTGGTTGGACTTTGCTCCAGGGCTGGCAACCAAAGGGACAATCCCTGTCATGTTCATTCTGCACCCCGAAAACCTCTAGAACAAGCCTTGTTATTAGCTTTCAGAGGGGAAGTTTCTGCTTTAGGGATAGATGTTGGAATTGTAGGACCTACAGCATTTGATCTCATCAAAGACCCAATCCCCTACTTTCTTCATTGCCTTCCCTAAAGCAGACCTCAGTGATCATCATGACTGACGTTCCTGGGACACTGAGCGGGACAGAGTGCAATGGGGACAGACCACCAGAGAATGGCCAACAGCATATCAGTCAAGCCAGCGAGGACAGAGCTGATGCAGACGGGACTCAGCCATACTACAAGGTGGAACCCAGTCTTGAAGATTTACCCACAAGGAGAAATCAAGAAAAAAGTGGACCCTCTAAAGAGAGCTTACTTCCCGAAGAGCCTGCAGGTGAGAAGATTCTCCATGGTAAAACGTTTCCTTTGCTCAGTTCAATTGTTTTGATTTACAAACCCCCTTTCTTCTGTCCCTTTTAATATAAACTAGTATTATATGAATAAGCTGGAGCTAAGAAATACAGACTCTTATTCCATCAGGGACTTCTATCATAAAGACTCACAATCTAGGCTTGTCTGGTAGCTTTGTAATCCCATGGTTTTCTTTTCAGAACCTTGAGCATTTTCACTCAGAACGAAGCAGAATAATAGTAACCACCTTCACTGGGTTGTTAGAATAATTTCTAAATGTTAATGTTAGCCATTGCTATTTATTGTTAGACCACAAGTCCATTGTCATTTGTAAAATTTTAAGATACCCTTCTGTACATGTCTAAAGAGGTCTGAATCCATAGTTCTCTCTCTCCTCTTTCTCTCTCTCTGTACACACACACACATATATGTATGTATGTATGTATGTATGTATATATATATGAGATACTATCATTGTGGAAGCTAATTAATAAACATATACAATCAAATTTCAAAGAATCATAAAAGTAAAGTAATAAGTTTTATTAATCCTAATTAAAGCTAAAGACATTACCTAGATTCAGAACTGATCATTTGTGAACCTTTAGCCTTGTATGTTGTCAATGTTACAATACTTATGTTTTCCCCCAGAAAACCCAGAAGAGAACCTCTTTGTTGTTCACAAGGTCATCAAAGAACTTTCTCTCCAAGAAGCAAGTGCTGAGGACATGGCATTCAGAGAAGGTAACAGGAACCCCAGTTTCCTAACCTGACTGGCTGGATAGGATGAGCACACTGCATGTGATGCTTTGGATGTGTGCCGCTGAGACGTGGTTCCGAGCAATGACTTCAAAATCTTCAAGCTGCTCTGGGCAGATACGCGAGTGTTGTCTTCTGAGGGTTCCACCCTACCCAGCTTTCCAGATGGTTCAAGCCCCGAATTGTATGGATTGATGCGATTGACTGGCATGGCAATGTGATAGCCATGTCTTGATAGGTTAGCCCCCCAAATCAAGCTTTTTTTCCAATGTGGTGCTCCAGATGGGTGTTGGGCAGCTTCTTGAATGGTTCAGAAACAGGTTTAGAATAAAGCCTTCTAAAGTAACTTCATAAGATGAGTTACTCCATGGGAAAATTATGTCTAAAACAAGTACAAGCTGCTATGTATTTCTTGTCAAAGAAGTGTGCTCCAAAGTGATGAGAGCGATGTGTTCTTTACACAACAGTGAGACAAAAAGTATACAAAAGTGGCTATGTTACCATGCAAGTAAAGTCAGTGGACAAGGTTACAAAATCTTCTAGACATTTTCTTCTAAGGTGATATTACGTCCAAACAGTTTCTGAGTACAGTACAGGACAGAATCTGTTAATTAATCACCCTTTCTCTCTCTTGAAGCATTAAATAGCTTATCCCCAAATTAAAGTCAGCATGCAGTGCCTAACCAGTTTAGTTTAGCACGTACCAGGGAAAGCAGGGGACCCACCAAAGGGACATTGAACACTGTGTGACTAGTGGATGTCAGGGAGGTGCCTGGGGATTACTGAGTTTCTTCCTTTGTCTAGAGCACTCCAATACTCAGCTGTCCAATATGTAGCCAGGCACGGGAAGGTGCAGCCAGCAGTGACTGGTATTGCAGAGATATCACAGACAGATTTTTCTTACCAGATCATAGTCTGTAAACATTAAGACCCTGTAAAATGAATTGCATAACTTTTCTGCCCCAATACTGCTTTAAATGTGACAAGTTGATCAAGGCAGAGCTCACCATTGTCCACCTTCGGCTTCTTTATCTGCCAGGGGACCTACTACAAAAACAGTTTCCTAGGACCTTGGGTTTCAGTCAAGAGGAGAGTGAGGGAGCCTCTCTCTTTGTGTCTCTTTATGGTGCATGGTGTCACCACTCAGTTTATCTCAGCTTAAATCCTTCCTTTCTTTCTTTTTTTAATTTTTTTTTATATTTTTTTTATTGAAGAAAAAAAAATTTCCGCCTCCTCCCAGCCTCCCATTTCCCTCCCCCTCTTCCCACTTCTCTCCACCTCCCCCCACTCCTCTCCCCCTCCCTCTCCAGTCTGAAGAGCAGTCAGGGTTCCCAGCCCTGTGGATAGTCCAAAGTCCTCCCCCCTCCATCCTGGTCTAGGAAGGTGAACATCGAAACTGGCTAGGCTCCCACAAAGCCAGAACATGAAGTAGGATCAAGACCCAGTGCCGCCTGGCGGTGGTGGCGCACGCCTTTAATCCCAGCACTCGGGAGGCAGAGGCAGGCGGATCTCTGTGAGTTCGAGACCAGCCTGGTCTACAAGAGCTAGTTCCAGGACAGGCTCCAAAACCACAGAGAAACCCTGTCTCGAAAAACCAAAAAAAAAAAAAAAAAAGACCCAGTGCCATTGTTCTTGGCTTCTCATCAGCCCTCATTGTCTGCCATATTCAGAGAGTCCGGTTTTATCCCATGCTTTTTCAGTCACAGTCCAGCTGGCCTTAGTGAGCTCCCAATAGATCAGCCCCACTGTCTCAGTGGGTGGGTGCACCCCTTGTGGTCCTGACTTCTTTGCTCATGTTCTCCCTCCTTCTGCTCCTCATTGGGACATTGGGAGCTCAGTCCGGTGCTCCAGTGTGGGTCTCTGTCTCTATCTCCATCCATCGCCAGATGAAGGTTCTATGGTGATATGCAAGATATTCATCAGTATGGTTATAGGATAGGGTCATTTCAGGTTCCCTATCCTCAACTAACTAACAATGACTTCTCGAATTTTGCATGCAAATGGATGGAAATAGAAAACACTATCCTGAGTGAGGTAACCCAGACCCAAAAAGATGAACATGGGATGTACTCACTCATAATTGGGTGCTAGCCACAAATAAAGGTCAGTGAGTCTATAATATGATATCCTAAAGAAGCTAAATAAGAAGGTGAACCCAAAGAAAAACATATAGCTATCCTCCTGGTTATCGGAAGTAGACAAGATTGCAGGGCAAAAAAATTGGGATCTTGGGGGTGGAGTGGGAGGGGGGTAAGGGGAGATGGGGAGAGAAAGTGAGAAGGGGAGGATGGGGGGAACTTGGGGAAACGGGATGATTGGGATAAAGGAAGGTTGGATAGGGGAGCAGGGAAGCACATATCTTAATTAAGGGAGTCATCTTAGGGTTGGCAAGAGACTTGGACCTAGAGGGGCTCCCAGGTGCCCAGGGCAATGTCCCCTTTTTTCTTTTTAAATCTATTTATTTTATATCCTGGCTGCAGTTTCCCCTCCCTCCTCTCCTCCCAGCTCCTCATCCCCACTCCCCTATGGGAAACAGTTCTCCCCACTCCTCCTCTGCTCAGAAAAGAGCAATTCTCCCATGGATATCAACAGAACATGGCATATCAAGTTGCAGTAAGACTAAGCACCTTCCCATGTACTAAGGCTGGGCAAGGTGACCCAGTATGAGGACTAGAGTCCCAAAAGGCAGGAGAAGAGTCAGACGGTCCCTGTTCCTGCTGTTAGGAGTCCCACAATAGGACCAAGCTGCACAACTATAATGTACATGCAGAGAGCCTAGGTTCATCCCATGCAGGCTCCCTGGTTTTCAGTTCAGTCTCTGTGAGCCCCTATGGAGCCACCCCGTGAGTACTGGGACTAGAACCTGGGTCCTCTGGAAGAGCAGCCAGTGCTCTGAATCACTGAGCCATCTTCCTAGCCCAAGCCTTTGTTCTTCTTTACCATTCAAGAGACAGTGTCAAATGTCAAAGCTGCTACTCTGCGTGTGGCTAGGCATGGGCAGTCATCATTTTCACATTAGAGTGAAGCTATTCCCTCTGAGGTATTGTTTGCATTGGCCTTATAGGATGTGTTTGTGGACGTGAAGTAATTCCAAGCATTTTCTGAGTATGTACCTATTGCACACACATAAAATATATACATGCACATAAATGCAGGATATAAATACACACATACATACCTACCTATGTGTGCATGTGCACACACACACACACACACACACACACACACACACACACGTTTTGATAAGGGAAATATTTTAAGTGTACCCCAGAGAATAGTAATCCTACTAAATACACTAGATACACTAGTCTATGCAATAGAATTCCAGTCAAATGAGGTTAGGTTGTAGACGTTCCTGAAGACATACAATATTCATTAGCATTTTAAAACTTAACTTCTGAGATATCTATTTAACTATATGAAATGCCGTGTTTTTGCAAATTATTTTGACTATGAAGCCTGGCTGATTGTCTAGTCTTAACAGGCAACCATGAGTCACAGTTCATAAGGCAAAAGTTGGAATGTGATTGTCTAGAAGAATGTGTTAGAGTATTCCAGAAGCAGCTATGTCCTCTGAAACCCCAGCACATCTCACCCACTAGTCCATTTTGCTGCAGGGCATCCGTGGAAGCACATTCCTCTGAGCAGCAGTGACCTGGAAGTGAGTACGCAGAAGGAAAGGATTGCCCACCGACCTCTAGAGCAGAGAGAAGACGAGAACACTGCATACCAGGCAGCAGAAATTGAATGGTTGGGGTTCCAGAAATCTAGTCAGGTTGACATATTGCATTCTAAATGTTACGAGGAACCAGAAGTTTGGGATGAAGAAGTTAACGAGGAAGACGCTGATGACTGCAATGATGATGAAGACGAAGTTCGAGTCATAGAATTTAAGAGAAAACACAGCGAAGGTTTTCAATTAAAAGAGGAAAACCATCCAAGCGAAGATTCCCCACTAAGCAGCCCCAGCTCCCAGCCAGGGACCCCTGATGAGCAGCCCGTGTTAGGAAAGAAGGGAGATATCTCTAGGAATGTTTATTCCAGATACAACACGATATCCTATCGGAAGATCAGGAAAGGGAACACCAAACAGAGAATTGACGAATTCGAGTCGATGATGCACTTGTAAACCAAGCGGGACTGGGAAACATCATGAGTGCTCAAGAAAAGCTAACTCCGTTGTGCTGAGAAAACTTCCTCTGCCATATTTGCAAGATGCGCATGTTTAACGTCTTTTCCACCACAGAGCAACGTGGAAATAACCATAGAAAAAGTCAGTCTGGTAACATCAAATCAAAAGCTTTAGACTCATGCCCGGGTGTTTGCTTTTAAAAAGTTAACTAATATAGCAGTATGTGGTAAGCCTTGTCAGAGAGGCAAATCTGTCATGATTTGGCTTCAAAATTAGCAATACTGAGACAAGTCAAGGGAAAGAGAACAGTTGATGTGACTCTCCTAATTCTTTCAGTGTCCTTCTTTCTTCAGGCCAATAGGAGGTCTGGGATTAAACTCCTCCTCCATTAAACATGGTTTTTTATAGATTCTACCAATAACTATTTTGCCTTTCTACTTATCTTTTAAAAAATACTGTATCTTAAATGGTTTTCCTTGGCACCTCCTGAGTGAAAACTCAACAGATCGCCTTTCTAGGTGTCACCATTCAGTGAATTTGTTCACTAAAAGGCTGAGTAATTGTCAGTCAGAATTCTGTGTGCTAAGTGCTGGCTTTATGCTTTCAAAATGAATTAAATCCATTGTGAAGTTGATCCAGGGAGGGGCTAGATGACCAGTGAGCCATAGACTCAAGAATTGTATTGGATGGCCTTTATTTTTGTTACTGAAAACAAAAATCTTGTCTAGTACAATGAAAATAATTAAAAATAAAAAAGTGGCAATTTTAGCACAATTTTAAGAAAATGCCTTTACTCCATTACCATACTTTCTTGCATTAACAGTATTTCAAAACCATCCTCTTTGCTTGGGAATGAGAGACAATGGCAGTCATAACTGTAGTAGTTACTATGAAAATGGAAATAATTAACTTCGACTATTTTAAAAGTAGGGTGTGAGCATGTATTTTTAGGGAAAAAGCTGATAGTTGTGGGGAATATATACTTTATTGGACCAAAGCCTAAATCAAGAAGCTTAAAATTGCACGTGTGGAGCTTCATGCGCACCCACATGTCAAATAATGCATTGAATATTTATGAAAAGAGTATATTTATACTCTTGGATAGTTTATTCCGCAAATATTCATTTTGTGCTTCTGTGTATATTGCTCTGAACTTTCTGTTACTTCAGATGAAAATATCGTTTGGCTCCAAATAAAAGACAATTCCTTATTGTCTGAATGTAATACAGTCTTCATTGTGCTATTCGACTCTTTGTTTGTTTCTTTCTCATTTGGTGCAAAGCCTGGGTGAGTCCTACTTAGACGATTGCTTATTTACGTGTACCAAATCCCGCACATTCCCATGGCACGTCCCTTAATTCTTCCTGGTCATATAATATATTTCCATTGTATCATATAGTACTTTGGAGTATTTAAAAGACTCAAGTTTTAATTCAATTCCAGTAATTCTTTTATTCTTCTAACCTATCCTTTACAACCTGACCAGGTAAGATCTGTTATCCTTAAACTGTTGAGCCTGCTAATTTCTTGTGGGACAAATGTGAGTTTTCCACGTAAAATGAGAAGAATTCAGTCTTTTGATTGATAAAGTTGAGTAGGAGATTGACGGACTGGGATAACTTCCTGTTTTAATGTAGATCCTTTGATCATTCCACAAAGACAACCTGTTTGCTTTCATGGATTTCGGATGAGACCTATCATTTTCGCTTAACTTCAAAACACTGCTTTATGTAACATTGCTGACCTATCCACAGGTCAGTCTGTTTGTTAGATGGAATTGACAAGTTACCATGAAGTTTGCGTGGAATGAGTAGTATATGTGGCTAAGAGGCATGACAATGCTATTAGCATCTATGGTACTCCAAAACCTTGAACTTTTTAGCTGTGTTCTCTTGCCACGCAATTCACCGATCATCAAACATTTTGTCCACAAAGATGCTTGATGTATGGTCAACTGGGAAACCACTCATGCTCATGGACGTGGTAATGCAGTGCCAGGAAAGCATTGATAACGTTCTTTGGTATCATTGCACATTGCCACATCCTATCACATACAGCAGGGCAAGAGTTAACACCTGGGTAATGAGGTGGGCGGATATGTGGGTTGTGGTCATCTGGAAACAGCAAAGGTCTTCTCCCTTTTGCATGAGATATATATTGATATATTTAAACTCATCTGGAGCGCTATTAATTGACAACCATGCATGAAGGTTTACCTGAGATTTTGCGATTCAAGGTTCAGGGTGGTAAGACCTCTGGTACCTGACACCTGACGGGGATTACATGAATGCTGGAATTTCTTAAATGACTTAATTCTCTTTTGTTACCAGATGAATGGGAATTAAAGACAGATTTACTTCTTTGTAAAAATTAAATTTACCTTTCATTTAGCGCATATATTTGAAGACATGGGATTTGCCAAGTTCTATCTGTTTGTATCCATCCATCCACCTGTCCATCTGTCTGTCTATCCATTCATCCCATCCATCCGTCTGTCTGTCTGTCTGTCTGTCTATATATCTGTCTATAATTTACCTATCTACCTGCTGTTAAATAAAGAACTAACTACGTGGTCTTATTTGCTTTCAATAAAGGTTTGTGTTCTTTGTTTAAGAATTGCAAACCTCTCTAGAATTTAGTGAATTTTTTCCCATATAAGCATCTATTTAGACCATCAAGCAAGCCACTTCACAAAAAATTAAGAGAGTACCTAATTACAGTTAATACACATTATTTATTTTTAAATGATTATATATAAAACTGTGAGAACTTGTGGTGGTTAGATATATAATATACTTGAAAATCTTCTATTACTTTGAAAGAAAATGAGATTTTGCTTCAGATGCATATTGAGGTCATGCACTTAAGCTCTTTGGACACAATGAAAGTGTCATTTCTGCATTTTTGCATGGAGTACTACTTGTGGCATATTTTCAATGGAAGAAGAGACATTAAGCTTTTCAAAGTGATCAAGGAAAACATTTAAACATTTAAAGTAAGTTATTCTAGAAGAGAATAAACGTCTAGAGTACAATAAATCAGAAATGTTTAATAATATGAGTAAAGCAACCACTTCTCCTGAAGGCCATTCATCCATTGTTTTATAATAACAAGAAGGTTATAAAATCCAATGTCAAACATACCTTCCATTATTAAAATAGGATATTATGTCATAATAGAAGAGCAAAATGGTAAAATGTGTGTTCTACTCTTGAGGCACATGAGAGGGCAAAGTCAAACAATCAACACCACACAAGCACACACACACACACACACACACACACACACACACACACACACAGAGAAGTGGGCACCAGAAGTCAATCACCCAGATAACTGGGAAAACACAATACAAACTTGTAACACTGGTAACTAGCTTCTAGCTCAGAAGAATATTGAAAATGAAGTTTGAAAGCAATTTTTATTTTTTCCTAGAAATTCAATGTTATGTATTTGATTCTTTCTCTATAAATAACCTTAGTTGAACAGAAGGAAAAGAAAAGGTTGTTATTTAGAAGTATTAGATCAAATATTCCTTCTATGAGTTTGTTCTTCCATTAACAAACCTATTAGGAAAATCAATAGCAAAATCACTCCCTTGATCTTTTCTCTCTCTCTCTCTCTCTCTCTCTCTCTCTCTCTCTCTCTCTCTCTCGGCCATTTTGTACAGATACTATGTATAAAACTAGAAAAAAACCTTGTCAGTTTTTAAAAGAATTAAGGTGTATGTGGAATCCTACAAACTTCCACAAATGTAATCTGACTTCGCTTTCAAGTCGGAGAAACTGTGGTCAGGGCAAGCCCTATTGAAAAAACTTGTGCAGAGAGTTCAGAGTGGAACATGCTGCTATCTCAGGAAGTTCCAATTGTCCCCTGCCATTGCTTTATTTCTTTATGCTGTCACAAGACACCTAGGGTTTTTATCCCCTCCCAATTTAAAGAAGCACATGCACACACACAATGCATGCCCACACACAAGGCTTATCTTTGCACAACTGATGCTTTCAAACAGTCTAGTAAACCTTAAAATATATTTAGTTACATTATCAAAAGTTTTAATTGCAGCATACAATACAAAAGCTTTATCTGTGTACTCATTTATAACTAATAACTTTGAACTGGCAAGTAGCTTTCAATATAAACAAATGTGTTTTCACTCATTATCGGTGATTGTCATTAATAGAAACTCCACATTTTCGAGATTGGTCTGCATGTTGGAAAATGGAAATTTTCACATTGGTTTGTGTTTTTACATGGGAGGACTCACATAAACTTACAAGGGGTTCCTGATGGAGGCAATAAATGTCAGCTGTTATCTCAAGTTAAAACGGACGTTAAATTTGCACTGCGGAGTTGTTTTTACTTTCTTTCATTCACAGGCACCCCGACATCTGAAACGCCATCCACCAAGTCTCACAGAGGCTCATATGCAGGCACCCCAACATCTGAAACACCATCCATCAAGTCTCACAGAGCAACATATGTAGACACCCCAACATCCAAGACACCATCCACCAAGTCTCAAAGAGGTTCATGTGCAGGTGACACCATCCTCCAAGTTTCACAGAGGAACATATGCAGGCACCCCAACATCTGAAACATCATCCAGCAGGTCTCATAGAGGCTCTGATGCAGGCACCCCAACATCTGAGACACCATCCACCAAGCCTCACAGAGGAATATAACACTTTATGCGACTGAAGCAAAATGTCCATGAAAAGAGCATTTGTCAAAAATAAACTTTCTGTACAGTAGCTTTGGGTAGGATTTCTCTTTTCCTAGGTAGCTGGCTTGCAGCAATCACTGAATACCCATGTGGCAGCTGTAAAATCTCTATGGCATCACAATCTGTAAAGTGAGCTGAAGTGAAAAGCTGTGGCTTGTGTTTTAAATTGAAGGGTTTTCCAAAGCTTTATTTCCTATCCCTGTTAAAAGTGAGCTACTTGTCGGTTTTGCTTAAAGGTTGGAAGGGACTTGGGTACTGAGATTCACAGAGAAACAGCTCTCTATACTTCTGTCTGTCAGTTTGGTCCAGCAGGTGGTGAATTCCTATCACATCACACGCATCACTACAGGATCTACAAGGGTTGTCACAGACAACTATACTTCAGCTGCTCAATGGAGGCCCAGCGTTGACTTCCTGCTTACAAAGCATTCAAGAGAGACCGAAAAGCTTTTAACCAATCTCATTTCCTTATCTTTAAACCAGCAATGTGCAACGCAGGGACTTTACCTGAGTTCACCTACACTGATAACCCTATATCTTTAAAAAAAGGGTGTTGGTGGCACACAGTAGAGAAAACACTTTGGGGAGCACCAGATAAAATGGTCACTTGATTTTATCTATTGTTGATGGGATGATCACATCCTTCCTCAGTGTAGGGAAGAGACAGACACCTTCCTGATCATATGGAGGGAAGAAAGTTTTATACACAACAATAAGATGAGCGCACACAAAACCTAGGGGTGGGGTGCACTCAGTGATAATTCGTTTTTCTTCTTCCTTTATTTCTTGTAATTCTGTGGATTTTATATGAGCTATTGGGGCCTTCGCATAAGATCTGACCTTTTGGTTGTGTTCTACATAAAAGCAGAAGTATTTGAACAAGAAGCAGGCTAGTGTTACTGGTATGCCTCAGTCCCATTTATCCTGCCTGGGAGTTCCTTGAACATCATTGTTAGACACTCATGAAATTAGAAGAGGCTAGAAATGTTGAGGTCTAATCCACTCTAAGTGCTGTCCATGACCCTTTGCAATCTTTAAGTCAACATTAGAAAGAAGGTTTTCTAATATCTAGAAGAAAGGCTTCCAAAGCAGTGCGGGGGAAGCTAATGATGCATTGCGATCATGGCACGGGTGGTTTTGCAGTCCTGTGAATGACAGATAATTGAATGTCAGCAAGCAGAACTGAGCAAATTTGACGCTCGTGATAAAACAGCACTCTAGCAACCACAGCTGTGTCATCCCACGGGAGAGGAGGGGGGAGCTCTGCATTACTGTTGAAAAAGAGAAAGCCAGCGTGCATGCTGAAGGGTGAGGAAGCACTTCCAGTATTCAAGAAGTTAGTATTTTGATCCAGTTAGTTCTGTAAATTATTAGCAAGGCTATCCCGTGTTTAGGTTGACAAGATGCACAGGCATGTTCCTAAGAAAAGGCAAAAACCTAAGCCAGGCCAAGGAAATGTGAGCCCCTGATAAACTATCCTCCTGCTGAAGAGTTCACTTGGACCACCACGTGTTCCATCAAGGGTTTGTCATTACTTGGAAAAGATACTGTAGTAGGATTTATATATTCATTCTTGTCTTCTAAAAACAAATTTGGGGGACAAAGCTTTAAAAATGTTAGCACTCTATCTGAGGATCAGTCCGTCCTTTCAAGGCTAGGCCCACACGGATTCCTCACTCATGACTGGTTCCTTGAATCTTAGCATAAGTGGGGAAACATTTGGTAGAGAGTTTATTAATATTTAACCTTAAATAAGTACATTATAGTACAAACAAAGCCTTTGTTCTACTGAGAGTACTCAGAGGTAGCTTTATATAATAAGTATGTTAAGGTAAAGTTAGATAGTGTATTCATTGATCAGAGTACACAGAAGATTTTCTTGGGAAAAAATAAAAAAAAAACATTTACTTCCTTCACTTACGAAAGTGGATCTAGCCAAAGAATGACTTATCTGTTGCTAAAAAGTCCTTACTTTTCTTCTGAGGAAATTTTCCTTGGATAAAATAGACTCTCCATAGACCAGTGGGCATGGGGATGCTCAAGGTGTCTCAGTCACATAAAAATGGCATGGGTCACTTGCTGTACTGTTTGGTCACTAACTCAATTAGTTCATTGCCAAAGACTTGTGTGGCTTTTGTTTGTTTTTGTGTTCTTTTTCCTTCCCATATGGCTGCTTTGGAAAGAATTATTTCATTTTAAAGTATTCTCTTATCTCATCTCTAATTAGCGAGTACTGTATGAAGCATCTTAAATATACTATATATGCTATAAATGTGTAAAGAAGAATTGTTTCCTTTCCCATTATTCATTGGTAGTCAGGCTTTTTTTTTTGTAACTAATTGGAAGATAAAATTAAGTGTCAAATAAGAAACCCAGAACTAAAATGCCCAGTTTTACCATAATAGCATGTGAACAAAGGCTTAAATCCACCAGCAGGAATAAGCATGGCCAGCTTGAAGGGGAGAAGCTTCAGTGTGAAGTTGGTTTATCGTCTTTGTAGGACCACGGCGGGCAAACTCAGACCAAATTGGTGGTTGAAACAATGGAATGAATCACACCTGAAGATCTGAAGTCTTAACCCATTCACGCCAGTTGGCCTGTAAGTGGTTTTTAGAGAGGCAATTTTTCTCCCAAAGTCAATTTTCCTCCTAAAAGGATGCTAGTAGACCCTGGTTCCTAAGCTTTCTTTTTCAATGCCTAAGGATTGGTGTACTTGACATGAGAGCTTTCCATGCCTGGCCTTTGTGATCCTCGGGTCCACCTGAGGGGTTTTGCTCTGTCTTTCCCCATCAGAAGAGGCACACCCCTTTCTTATTCTGCCGGGTCTGGGATCAGACTTCACTCAACCCTCTCTTTAAATTGCTCATCTCATTTAAATGCATGCCTGCTTTGGCACATTTTAGAATCTGTTTTTAGCATGCTTCATCCAAGTGAATATCGATAAATCTAAAGCAGCATTTTTATTGTTTTCATTAAATTTTGTCCTATTCTGTATCATCTCTGCTTTAATTTTATCAGCTCCTCTCACTTAACTCTGTGTTGGAATGCCCAATGATGAAGTACAGGTCTTGTTAACACAGTGTGTTGTGACCCAACCTCCTCTCTTTGTTTACCTTAAAAAACACAAAAATCTCAGAAATTCGCTGCTATGACCAGCTTTTTAAAAATATAGTATTGCTAAAAAGCACAAAACGAACTGAAAGAATACACAGAATTGATTACATTAAGTCTTCTTCCTTTTCACTTGTTTTTTTCCCCTACTGCTTCAGATTTAGAAGAAAACTTCCTGGTCATCCAGTTCAACCTCACCATTAGGAAGGATCCTGATAGAGGAGGGTCATCCGTCTTATCTGTTGTTTTCATTGGTTAATAAAGAAACTGCCTTGGCCCTGATAGGACAGAAAATTAGGTAGGCGGAGTAGACAGAACAGAATGCTGGGAGAAAGAAGCCGAGTCAGGCAGTCACCATAACTCTCCTCTCCAAGATGGATGCAGGTTAAGATCTTCCGGAAAGCCACCACCTCTTAATGCTACACACATTATTAGAAATGGGTTTATCAAGAAGTGAGAGTTAGCCAATAAGAGGCTGGAACTAATGGGCCAGGCAGTGTTTAAAGGAATATAGTTTCTGTATAATTATTTCGGGTAAAGCTAGCCGTGTGGGAGCTGGGTGGGAACACAGCCCGCTGCTTCTCACAACAGGATCCTGGGGTTGAGCAGTACTACTATACACTGTCAGGTAAACATGGTGATATCTCAGTAGGACAGTGTCTCTGTGCAGCTAGCTGAGTCTTCCAGCTGTGAGAATCTGTGAAGATGTATTTGATGAAAGCAGAATCCGGTTGGTTTTAACACTACTCATGGGCAAGAATAACTGCTCAACAGCAGTCATGGTTTTGACATCATTGTAGGTAACCTACAGGTTCTGGTTACCTGTCAGAGTGCGTGAGGAAGACGTGGAGTATGCACTACAGCACTGGGCAGGCACAGACACATCCAAAGGCCACCTAGAGCTGAAGAATTCCAGTCCAATGGTGACCTGTTTCCCTGAGTTATCATTTGGTACTTTAAAAAAATAACCTTCCATTTAAATGCTATTAAAATGGAAAACTTAAAATACCATGGAAAGAAATACAGTCACCAACTTTAGTCTCATTTTCACAGATAATCTGGAGGGTTAACTAGATAAACCATCTTTCTTTAGCCTTCATAGTATTGTTCAAATTTCCACTTTTGATATGGTTCCATTGGGTTACAAGTGGCCACTGTCAGGGTCTTCTGAGAAGCATTTCCTTCCATGCATAGCAACTGCTGATAGTTTTCAAAGACAATGTGATCCACCTGAGGAGAAAGGGGAGATGGGAATGAGCTACCGACTAACCTTGACATGTGAAGATATAATAAGCAAATTATATTTTCACTCCCCCAGGAACTCTCCTGAATTAAATTAGTGACATAAGCACAAGGTTTAGAAAACATCGAATTTGTCTCTGTCTCGAACTAGCTTCTCTAGTTTTAAGGTTTTAATTCTGCAGAAAGAAAACAGCCATTTTTCCCCCTAGTGATTTGATTGATAGCTATATTATTTAAAAGAAAAAAATCTGGTTGGCACATAATATATTGGGTAACTACTTCATTGGTGGTGGCAATGCAAAAAAAAAAAAACAGTCATGTAGTATAACAGGAAAGAAGTCTGTTGGTTGATTAATCCAGCTCAGGTCTTAGAATGTTCATGTGTGTAAGCAAATGCTAAAGATGGTACATTTGATTTGTGATCTCCCCACCTAACTTCTGACAACATAGAATGTCAAGTACTCAGATTTAGTTAGAACAAGACATGGGTATTTCAGATAAACTTAATGTTGCTTAACAGTTATTAAAACTGAAAGATAATCTACCTAGAACCAATTAAGGCCTTATAATTTTTAACTCATAAATCTCAATTTTCCATAAATATGATCATGGTCATTTTAGTTATCTTTGAGCTACTTTGATATACTTATGGTTTTTTAAACCAAATGGGAGATTTTCATGCTAAAACAAAATTATGACTCCCACAGAACCTTGGAAGTACGATGCTTGCATATATTTAAGGTTGTGCAAAGTAGGTGGCCTTGAAGCAGATCCTTCAGCATGGTGTACAATGCTCTGTGCCAAATGACAAGCATAGATTGACTTAGGGAGCACTTGAAAATGCAAATTTAGAACTATGCAATTTTAACAAGTTATTGTTATCTAGAGGTAATCTCTTAAAAAAAGAGGTTCCTGTTTTTCACAATCTCTTTCTCCGTTTCTCTTGTTCTTTAAGACTAACATATATCTCAGGGAATGCTATAGTTGTATCTTAAATGCTATCTCCCTCCCCAAAGATGACATGTTAAAGTCTTGGTCCCCAGGGTACAACTGTTGGGAGATGGTGAAATCTTTGAGATGAGGCTTAGAATCATCGTTCACTGTGAAGTGTCTGTGATAAGGACTGTGTGATTGTCTTTCTACTCTTCTTTACTTCAGGCCATGAACTAAGCTGTGTTCAAACCTGTGGTCTCTCTGTGATGAGTTGCCTTACCATGGTCCCCAAACAACAAAGCCAGCCTATGGTGGACTCAGACCTCTAAAATGGAGCAGACTCAATCCTTTCCCCTTTAATTGTCTAAGGCAGTGGTTCTTAACCTTCCTAATGCTGAGACCTTTTTATACAGTTCCTCATGCTGTGGGGACCAGCCACAAAATTATCTTCATCGCTACTTCATAACTGTATTTTCTACTGTTGTGAATTATAATGTAAATATCTGTGCTTCCTGATTCTTGGGATCCTGACGCACAGGGTGAGAACTGCTGGCTTAAGGTCTTGTTATCAAATGATAGTCAGTTAACCCAGGGACTTGAGAAGATTTGTATGAAAACTGTCAAAAGAAAAAAACAAAAAGGAGAGATAAAGACAGAGAGAAAGAAAGAAAGTCAATACAGGCTATCCTTCTCTGTGAAAGGCAGAAGGCATCACAGAGAAATTCTTAGTTTCTATTATCTTAGTACCTTTTCCAAGGCAGCTTAATGGGTAAGACCTACTCTTAAATATATCCTTGTAAATCCTTCCCAAGATTCACTGCAGAAAGGAAAGGTTTTGACTTTCATTGTCTCTCTTTCCTTCTGTCCTCTTTGTTTCCCACCTTCAGTGCAGTGTTAAAGAAGTAGGAGGTGTGATATAATTTAGTCGATAGATATTTATGAAATTTCCCCAAAAGTGCAAGAAATAAAAAGAGAAGTTTATACACTAATAATTCTCCATTTGGCAATATTAACTGGCAATAATAATGCTTATCAGTAGGAGGAAAGTGTCTCAGAAAATTAAAAGGTGCAGTCGGGTGGTGGTGGTACATATTTTTAATTCCAGCAATCAGGAGGCAGAGGCAGGTGAGTCTCTGTGAGTTGAAGGCCAGCCTCCTCTACAGGGTGAGTTCCAGGACAGCCAGGGCTACACAGAGAAACTTTGTCTTGAGAAACAAAGCAAAGCAAACCAAAACCAAAACCAAACAAACAAAAAATTAAATAAATAAAATATACTACTGGAGAATGAATGGGTATCTTGGATCCAATTTGGGCTCCCAGTAGAAAGAGAATGACTGCATATGACAACAGAAGAAGGATAACCTAATAAATGGGGACACCCCAAAATAAAATGAGTTTCCTTTGGGGCCAGCTCCGGGCAGAATCATGATCTCTGTACTACCAGTATAAAATACTGAGAAAAACAACGTAATGGGGCAATACTTTATTTCAGCTCACAGTTGAGGATACACCTCAAAACTGTGGAGGAATTCACAGTGGCAAGAGATGGTTACACCCCACAACTGTAGAGGAGTTTACAGTGGCAAGAGATGGGGGCCTCGTCATATTTCATGCACGGTAAAGAAGCAGATATTGAGAGACGAATGTCACAGCACCCTCACTTTCTCCATGTCTCACAGCCCAGGATCCCCTTCTGGGAGAATAATCCCACTCAAAATTAAGATGGGCCTCTCTCACCATTTAACATAATGAAGACAGTCTCCCCTAGGCAAGCTCCGAGGCCAACTCTAACCACAATACCAATGGCTGTAAAGCATTTGGTGTGCTAGTGAGGTGGCAGAAACCTGAGGAGGCAGTCCTGACCTGAGACCAGTCCTAGCATCTCAAGATTCCACGACAAAGTTTATGACATCAAATCCCATGTTATCATGACTGAGAGAAACTGAAGGGGCTTGGGAATAAACACAGTCACACCGGGACGTTTTGTTAGGGTAACAACTGTGTCGGAAACATTCTCCTCAAAACTGCTTTTCAACAGGAGCTGTGTTATCACTAAAAGTAAAATTGGCAACACACACACACAGCCAGCCTCCTGTAATCGGCAGTCTTATCTGTGGAGCCACACAGGAATGAGAAAAAGACCCCTTTCCTGGACAAAGAGCAGATGCGAAGTTCAAACCATTCTAAAGAGTAGCACTTGCAATAAGCGCGCAGGTTCTTGCTTTGTCCATAGATTGCACCTTTAGGCTATTCTGGTAACCAACGAGAATAAGTTTCATCAATACACAAGGTGTTGTTGATTGATTTAAATGAATTTTTGAAGCTAACATGATGGTGGCAATAGAATGGGAAGAAATGGGTGCTTTCGCTTAAATGACTTATTTGAAATCAATTTTGAAAAAAGCAAACAAATCCAAAAATAAAAACAAAATATTAAAAATTTACCAAGACCCTGTCCCTGAGTGAACCGTCACACTGTCTCTATTGTGAGCCAGCAGCTTTAGAGACTTCTGGCTGATGGGACTGATAATCGGAGCTTTATGTCCCCTTTGACTGAAGTTGACTCTGTGGTGAAGGGATGGCACGGATGTTTGCTTACCAGTTCTGGATGAAAGCCCGATGCAGATTTGTGCAGCCACTTGAGGCTGGTGTTTCTGTTATCACATGGCTGGAGTCTCAGGGGTCCCTTATCAGTGCCGGGCGCCAGGCACCTCTGTCCATGTTTAATCAGTCTTACCCAGGTGTAATTGAATTGTTGACGCTGTAGAGAATGGGCAGAGGGAAGGCCATTCAGAGAGCGAGCAGAGGCAGGGGATTTGCCAAAGACTTTTATCAACAACAGTGAGACCGTGGCTGCCCGATCCGATGAGTTATGTTACTTAACCTGCCCCCTGTCATCTTTCTTTTTTTTTTTTAAATTGTTCATTTTATTTTTATTTTTATTTTTTTAATTTATTTATTTATTAAGGATTTCTGCCTCCTCCCCGCAACCGCTTCCCATTTCCCTCCCCCTCCCCGATCAAGTCCCCCTCCCTCATCTGCTCGAAGAGCAATCAGGGTTCCCTGACCTGTGGGAAGCCCAAGGACCGCCCACCTCTATCCAGGTCTCATAAGGTGAGCATCCAAACTGCCTAGGCTCCCCCAAAGCCAGTACGTGCAGTAGGATCAAAAACCCACTGCGATTGTTCTCGAGTTCTCAGTATTCCTCATTGTCCGCTATGTTCAGCTAGTCCGGATTTATCCCATGCTTTCTTATTGCTGTGGTGGGTAGTGCGACTATCGCTTTTGGCTTCAGCAATGACTTTCAGGTGTCTGGTTCTGTGACAGGTGTTAGAGTTGTGCTTGTCTTGCCTCTGCTTCCCTAACAGCTAGAGTTCCGGGTCTGTGTCACTATGACTGACTTTAAGTTGGGATTTAATTTAGACTGTAAGGTTGTATTAAAGAAATGGTGGCAAATCTTGCGACTCAAAGTGTAGTCCCCAGACCAAGATCATGTCACCTGAACACTAGTTAGAAATGCTGGATCTCAGCCCCATCTTGGATCCTGTGAGTCTAAGTTGACCCTAACAAACTCCTCGGGTGATCATCAGTGTTTGAGAACCAAGGACAGACAACGGAATAGGAGGTCAGGTATTTACTAAGACACACTGCACATCACCTTAAATACAGTCAAATGTACCTGCGAAGACTTCTAGTTAAAGCAAGGGACAGGGATTGAGGGGGAAACTGAGTGTTTCATTTCTTTTGAGGGTTCCAGATGAATATAATTCAGGTATTAAAACTTACTGGTTCTGTCCCTACCAAATCAACTTCCTCTACATTCCTGTTCTTTTTGTTATTCAAGTCGACCATGAGGAAGGAGCAACTCAAAAGGAGCAACAGGGTCAAAGTGCAAGGAAGGCAGTGACCCTATTATTCATATTTTGGTCTTTCCTTCCCAACTCATTGGTATTCAAGAGCAGAAGTTGAGTTTCTTGTGAAATACTGATTTTACAGGTATGCTAAGTTCCTACAGGGATGGTCTTAAAGAAATAGATTATTTTCATATATTTTTGACTAATTCTGCAGTTGTTCTTTCTCCACTGTGAAGTGTGAATAAGCAAAAGTCGTGTCTTTCCATTGATTCTTTAATCTTATCTCGTCTCTTTCCTAATTATGAAAGTGTTTCTTCGGCGTCAGGTTTACAATCCACAGAAGAATTGCACTGACAGCTCTGTCTTCTACTCTAGGGGAAGCTTGGGACTGAGGCGTAGAAATGGGATGCTCTTGAAAGTATCAGCCACAGTGCTTAACTCAGCACCAAGAAGTAAGACAGCAAGCCGAGGCCATCATCACAAAATGATCTGTCTATCACAGTACGATCTGCAATCTGGGGGCTGATTTGTACACATGAATCCGTGTTCCTATGAGTCCTATTTAGCATCCAAAGCAGTTACCATTCCCATCTGGGGTGCAGATGCTGGAGAGGGAGGTGTAATCACTTGAACCTCATCTCCTGCATGGCGGAAGTAATCCTCTGTTTTTCCTGGCCCCGCTCCCTCTCCTATCCACCGTGGTCTGATTTTGTGGTTATTTTGTTAGAAGATTTTTTTCATCAAGGATCATAGTTTAGGGGATGTTCATCACTCCCTTAAGATAACAGAGGGAGGGGAAAGTTGGGCAGAAGAATGTAATCAGAGAATAAAATGGGTTCTTTTGGATGGCTCCATAGAAACTTCATTTCTACTTTATCTGTTGATAAAGAAAAACTTTACATTTTATTATTATTGTTGTGTGCATGTGTGTGTGTGTGTGCATGTGTATGTGTGTGTAATGCTTATATGTAGGCATGGACGTCACAGATGGTTTGTGGAGGGCAGAGGAGTAGTATGGAACTAGTTCTTTCTGTACACCTTCACGTGGGTTTCGGGGACTGAGCTCACATGGACAGACTTGTGTGGCAAGCACCTTTACTCACTGAGTCATCTCACCGGTCATATTGTAGGCATTTGGTCTTTTTTTTTTTTTTTTTTTTTTTTTTTTGGTTTTTTCGAGACAAGGTTTCTCTGTGGTTTTGGAGCCTGTCCTGGAACTAGCTCTTGTAGACCAGGCTGGTCTCGAACTCACAGAGATCCGCCTGCCTCTGCCTCCCGAGTGCTGGGATTACAGGCGTGCGCCACCACCGCCCGGCTAGGCATTTGGTCTTTACCATCACAACCAACACTTACAGCGTACCACACGTTAGGTAGTGCTTACCAGCCCCCAGCTTGTTGCCAGTTCATTTCAGCTTTAGAGTTAGGTATGATCTGCACTGCTGCTTACAAAGGTTTAAGACTGCGTACATTAAGCCAGTTTTGCAAGGAAAGTCAAGACTAAATCCATCATGGAACAATGACGTCAATGCATAGTTTCCTCCCTTATGTTACTTCTCTGTCGAGTGGCACTTCCTTATACCAGACCATTGATTACATTGACATTTGGGCATCTATGGATGCCTCCTGGACAGAGGTCAACTATCTGAGCCTACCTGGCTGCTCCCATCACAGTCTTCCAGCATGGCTGTGGTGTTTTCAACGGAAATGCACTTGCCCAAGGCCACATTCACAAGCTAAGAAGCAGAACACAGAATACAAACATTCATTAAGAACAAACACATCTTGATGTATACGAAGGCATGCGGACACATTTGGAAACTAGAAGGTGGACAGCCATAAGGTTAATGGATAGTCGACAGTTTAGTTAAAGTTTGCAGAAGATGACTGTCTTGGTCACAGCTCTAGCAGAGACACAGTGCGATCCTGTCTCAGCACAGTTTCAATCTGTCATCGTAAGCCTGTGATTCAGCCACAGTGGCAACAGACATTAGCTTCTCATTAACACTTTCCTGGGATGCTGAATGAAAGGGAGCGAAAGTTGCTAGAGGAAGGAGGTGATTTTTGTCTATTATTATTATTATTTGGCTTGAGTTTATCCCAATGCCTACCTTAAAAGTCAGTGTATACACCTCTGACTTCATTAAGCCAAGAGTCATGGGCTACGTTCCTCGGCTGACCCCTCTAAGCAATCTGACAGCTTAGACACCGACTCCTAGCTAAATTGAGTCAGAGAACAGCAGATCCCAGCTGACTCCCCATCAGACTTTTCCTAATGACTCAGTCAAGCTACGACTCATTACAAGGAAGTCACGGAAAGCTAAGGCAGAGCCAAGCATCAAGGCCCTTCCTGGCAGACTCGGGATTTTAATGAATTTACAGGGTCAAATATGGAGGAAGCTTCCCATCAGCCACCAACTGATGCAGGGAATGTTGATTCCCTTGCCCCCTCTGTCATTCTGGGCAGGACTTCCAGGATGGGAGGTTAAGAATGAAATTTAGACTTTTCAATTTGCTGGAGGTGTTCTGTAGAAGAGAAATTATGCGTGTTTGAAAGCCTGCTAAGCTTGAAAAATGGTGACCATGTTTGTGATTTTTTTTTTCAGCTTTTATGGGGACCAATACAGAGCTCCAGTTTTGGGGTGCTATGACAATGGAGGCCTTGTTGACCCCAGGATCACCAGATTTTGTAGGAAGGAGGGTGTCTAGTGGGTTGGTGCCTACTTGTGAAAGAATGCTTTAGCTTGAAGATAAGTAGGGAGTGTTTTATGGAGTCAGAAAATGCAGAAAGAAACAGTGAGAGGGGTTACTGCAATCTCTAAATGGGAAGAAATACCCTCACAGATACATACGGGGAGTGTGAGATGCGGGCATATGCCAGTCAAGGAACTGGGACAGAGCTCTTCCGCAGAAGGACAGCACCTAAGCTGTCCTTTGGCTAGTGGGCACTAGGAAAATGGGTTCATCTGCTAGAACAGGGAGAAAACAAAGATGCTAGATTCTCTCTGAGAATCTGAAGCCACAAACTGACCTTCATTTGGGTTTGAAATAAAAATGTGCCCCACCTGTTTGAGCTAGGAACCCTCGCTGACCTTCAAGGAATATAACCAGACATCAGCAGTTTTACTGGTCCGTCATTTCTAAGATGTCTGACACAGGGGATACAGAGCAATTCTAGAGGGACAGATCTCCAGTAAAAAGATCTCCAGCATGCTCCATTCACAGGATTCACAGGTTCAAATGGCAAGTCTGGGCACTTCCACCATCAATAGGTCTGAGCAACAGTAGCATGCAGAAAACATACAGTGGTCCACTAAGCTCAAGAAGCAGGAGGAGACATGCGGGTGGGGGGAGGGGGGAGCGATTCCGGAGGCAAAGAAGGAAATGGAAATCCTCGTTACTCTTTGGATTTTATCAGAGAAATGAATCCCATGTTCTCATGGCTCATTCAGAAATTATCCTATCATAAAACAGATTTGGAAAACTGACTCCAACACAGCTGAGCCAGGTGCTTTCTCCTAGACCTCAGAGCCTTCCAGGTGAGAGCCCACAGCAGGCGCTTGGGACACACACATGCTCCTTTCCCAGGTCCGCTTGGCTGCAAACTCCTGATGGCAGAACCAGCACTATCCAGACAGTGTTTGGGAAGGCTTAGTTTAGATGGTTTCATTGTTTTATTTTGTTTATTCATTTTATTTATTTATATTATTTTGTTTTTTTTTCAAACAGTTCCTTCCTGCAGGAAGGCCTTGGAAGGCACTGGAGTATAAGCAAGAATTTCTCCTCCTGGGTCTTTAATGCAAACCATTTCAATGTAATAATAATAGTAATTGTAACAATAATAAAAATAACATATTGTGTAGATTTTATATTTTCTGTGTTGAATTATTTGATTTTCCCAATGTCAAAGGTAGAGATCTCCCACACTGGATTAGATAATTGTTAAATCTTAGGTGTAGGCTGTTTGCTAACGATGTACTTCAAGGGAAAAACAAAGCTTGCTGAGACTATTATTGATTTTAGATATTATTGACTATGAAAAACTACTCTCAATAAAAAAAGACTTTCACTGGTGTGCAGTATCTAGGCGTGCAGGCTGAATGATGAGAAAATGTGAAACGAGAAACAAAAAGATAGATTTTATTTTCCGACAACCTTTTCTGGCTATCATCATCTACTGAGTTATGTCTGATATTAATCGGAAAAAAAATCTCAAAAATTTAAAACGGTAATAACACTCTTGTCGGAAGGGAGCAGAGGATGGCTTCATTAAAATTTGTTTACATGGGGCAGTGAAGAATGGAAATAAAAGAAAAAGGTCTAGTGTGGTCGCTTTGAAATGTATGCCCAGCATTTTAGAGCTCTACATTATAGAGCAGGCATGTGCAGGCTTTTTTTTTTTTTTTTTTTTTTTTCAGAGCTTTTCAAAGATAGTAGTGACAACTTACAGGGAATCAAAAGATAGTTCCATTGCGCCCTCTGGTGGCTCATGTTCAGTAATGCTGCTGCTGAGAGTCTAGAGCGAACTTCAGGAACTTCTCTAGCCACCTTAGTTAGGAGGATGGAATTTAAACATCTAAGCGGTAGGTCTGATGTGTCTAAGGCCAAGCTGTTTCTTCTTATTTAGTTATCTAAAGTAGCTAGAGCTACTTTGACCAACCCCATATCCTTCTATTCTCTTGTGAACTATTCACAACATTTTGCTATAAATAAACCAGGTCATGTATATTCATTTACTGGTTAAATCTTATTAAAATAGCACAAATATTCAGACTACTATCCTGTTTTTGATCCCCTCCCTGGATTTCCTTGGTGAGGACAACAGCATTATTTTTATTACATCTTTGTTATCTGGGGATTTGACAGTCTGGGAGAGAGGCTAGTCTATAAATCTGATTCTCGGAAGAGTTAGAGATGGCTGTTCTAAAAAAGCAGACATACTGACAGGTACATCAGACATCTTCCTGAACACAATGGCGTAGGGCTATGACCGGAAACAAAAGAACACTGGGGATATTTATAAATAAAGATGAAAAGCGACTTACTTTAGTAAGAGATTAAGCACAAACGTAAGCATGGGTTTCAGTCACAGGCTGTATCAGGAAGCTGTACTCCTGGCTGGACTCAGGGTTTCCCCGCAGGGTCTCAACTTCTCAAAGCCTCATTTTGCACTGATCCCCATTCAAACTATTTGCCCTTTGTGAAACTTCCCTTAGAGCCTTGAATATTTTTATTATTTCCAACAAAATTTTTACAAAACCCAAATTAAAGCTTGTATTTTGGTGGATGTCCCCATTGGTGAAGGAAGGAAGGAAGGAAGGAAGGAAGGAAGGAAGGAAGGAAGGAAATGAGGAAAATCACCTGTGAGGACACGAACCCTCTCTCAGCTCTCCACCTACATGTCTCCATCCCTGCCCTGATGGACTAACCTCTCCATATCGTGGCTGCCGCCAGCCTGTCCTGAGTTGTGTAGGAGCTGAACCCCCACCTCTCAGAGCTATGTTGGTTCTGTGTCTCAGGCCTGGCTTCAGATCTTCTGAGAGGATCTCTTGACAGCAGGCATTTCAATGGAATCAGCCCTCCTGGCCTGTTCCTTTACAAGAGCCTTTGTATTCTATATTCATACTTCACTTACTTATTATCCCTGTCCTCCACTCAATGCCAATTTCCAAAGGAAGAGGCAAAGTCTATATCCTGAAGTCATCTTTAACTATCAGTCAACACGACCACATGATAGACTTCATCAGATTCACCTCTAACAACTCACAGCGCTTTGTTTCAGCGGCATTCAAGTCTGTTGCTTAAAGTATATTACGTCATTCTTTCCTAAGCATATTTGAGGGGGTTTTTGTGTTGCTTTTGCCAAGGAAGACTTTAAGTGGCCACATTAACTTACCACACCACTAGCTCTCACAACGGGTGCCTTCAGGTCAGGGAAGACATTGTCCAAGTACCACTTGAAACCTTTGCACTTCAGCTTCTTCCGCAACTCCCTTTGCTGGGTCAGGTTGCCCACATCCAACCCTTGGTCTATGAGGTGATCCCCGTGGCCGTAGAAGAGGTCCTTGTACTCATCCAGCCAGACCTCAGCCACCCGCACCAGGTTCCGCTCCACCGTCTTCATGCGGTCTTTGGGGAAGGAGTACGGATTGTCGTTTCGGAAGATGTGGCCCACTCTGGAACAGGGAACAATCTCGATTTCACCACCACACATCCAGACCTGGGGATGAGTCAGTGAAAAGCACCAATTATCAAATGGTGGCTCACAAATCATAGGCAAGGAACCATGCCATGCTACTGCCTGGAAATAGTCCTTCCAACTCAGAAACACTCTCACAATGGGGAAGAAGACTCAATAGCTTTATTTAGTCTTATGCATGGTGGTGGACCATGTTCATTTCCCCTTTAGATTCATCTATGTAAAATTTCTCTTTATCTCCTTTCCAAAGAATTCTTTATAGAATGCCAACCTATAAAATATATCACTAATTTTCCTGTTTGGGTTCAATCAGGAAGAGGCTATAGATGCCCATTTATTCACCTACTTCTTTGGGAGATCTGTAGGTCTGTGGTACCTAACTCAAAACTATTCTTGGCCAGGACCTCCAAACTTATACCCATCTGAACACAGACCTCCCAGTCACATAGGGAAGCTGGTGTTAGTGTTCTATTTTTTTTAAGCCTGTCTCAGCATGATTCAGTGATGACTAAGTCATTATATACAGTCTCCAAAGATGCCACACCATGACACACACTTGGCTTGCTGGTGGCCTGCAGGGCTTTTTTGTCATTTGTATTCTCAAGGTCACCCCCACTACAGATATTTCCACTGCCTCCAATGTATTAGGGAACTATTCCAAGAGAGTCATTGTACATTGCAGATGAATCCCAAGGTAATTTGCTTTAAGTGTGAATTTCATATGATTTGTTCAAAAAAAGAAGAGTAACTCCCCCATAATTAGACATAGAAACACTGTTGTGAAATATTAATTCCAATGGTTTTACAACAGTGGTTGATTCTTCCACATTAAGTCTGGGAAATGAGACAATCTATAGAACCTGTGCCATAGTGAAGTTTCTTCCCATTCAGTCACATATGTGATTGTGTTGGTAAAGTAAAGCCACTTGAAAATCATAAACACATGTGTATTTGTGTCCATATGTTGTGGTGCTTGTGTATGGGTGTTTACATGTATGTGTAGGTAACAGGTCAACAGTGTCTTCCTCAAGTACTCTCTGCCTTCATTTTTGAGACAGTTTCTCTCACTGATATAAAACTCAGTGATTGGACAAGAGTAGCTGCAATCACAGATACGAGTCTCTGCACTTGGCTTTCTACAAGAGATCTGAACTCAGGACCTCATGCTTATGTGCCAATCTCTTTAGCAGCTCAGCCTTTCCCCTGGCCCAAGAATAATGAATTTTTAACTAGAAAGAAAGAAAGAGAGGAGGGAGGGAGGGAGGAAAGAAAAAAAGAAAGTGTAGCGAATACCTTGAATGACAGCTCCATATTTTCTCCTCCCCAAACATCAAGACCAGGGTCATAAGTTCCAAGTTCATAAAAGTAACTTTTATCAATGGAAAATAATCCACCTGCCATGACTGGGCACCTACAAAAAGGAAAGATGATGTTACACTTTGGTGCCAGGACTACTTGACTTCTAGATTGGATCCTCTATAACTGCATGGGAGTCTGGAGTTGTTTTTGGATAGGTTCGGGGAGGTCTTGGAATGGAGCCTGCAGCTTGGCTTTAGTGAAAAGTTTCTGCTTCACAGGGGCTGAACTTGATGAGAGTCTGAGAAGACGTGGGCGGGGCTAGGATTCTTACCTGTCACTTAGGTTCTGACACAAATCCCAGGGTTATTGTGGATTCCTGTGGCAGCGCTAAATCAGGCGCATTTCCAATTGAATTTGGGGGTAAGAAGTAATGACCTAACTTCTCAGGAAACTTTGTTTGCTTTAATAAGGTCTCGAATAGAAGTATAATTTTTTTTTGAGACATGGGTATTACTGTAGCTGAAGCTACCCTTGAATGTACTATCTTCCTGCTTCTGCCTCCTAAGTACTGAGATTAGGGGTATATACCATCCTGTCTAGTTGATACCTACAATTCCTGCTGGTTTTCAGAATGATAGAGTATGCATTTTTTAACTTATTTTATGTCTTTCTCAAAAGACCTTGGACTGCTGCCTAGTCTCCAGTCTTCACACACTTACCTTATCACGTCAGTTTCTTTAATCCCGCTTTTTGCAACAACATCTGGAGGAATTGTTCTCCAGCCAAAGTTCATGGGCCACGTGAAGACACCTCTTTGGAAGTTGTCCACTGTCATGTAACTAATGCAAGACAAACAAACCAAATGAAGTTGCGAATGCTAAGGTTCGCTGTATCTCTATAGAGTGCATGAACACAGCCTCATGACTGGTCCGGGTATGGGACAGATGCTCACACACGTGATTCTGTACCCTCACCTCCTAATATTTACTCAGGGGAGCCGATGGATTTGCTTTTGCACTGCTGGTTAGCTCGTTTGATCGCTTGCTTTCAATTTACGCTCATCTTTTGGTCAATAATGGCCATTTTAGATGAAGAAATGAAAATATTTAGATTAAAGTTCCCAAAAGGGTCCGATTAGAAACCTGAGAAAAAGAAATACTCTGGAGTTCAACTGACAATCAAATGGGATGAAGTTGATAATGAGAAGTTGGATTTATTAATAGATGAAAGTTGGTGTGCTAGCCAAAAAGAGTACTGAGCTGGTAAGTTCTGATCCCAAGGTATCTCGCATGCGTTTCTCCCCGTTTGGTAAGTAGCCATGCTTCTTAAGTTTTATCACAGCACGGATGAGAACTAGTAGTCTCTGCTGCTTCCCAGTGTCAGAATGTGGCAGCGTTACCTCATGTCCTTGTCATTGATGACTTCAATTACTGGGCAGGCCACTTTTTTCCTATTTAAGTAAACTCTTTCCAGAAGCGGTTCCAGCCAGCCCACATTGCATTCCACATGAGAGTCTAGGAATGTCAGCACATCCCCTGTAGTGGGAAGAAAGGAAGACAAAACACAAAACATTGGAAAATATGGTAGGATACAGCCAGTCTATGTGCTTTGTGCTCAAAAGCGTTGGGGATTGCTTGAGAAGCGTGACCGTGAACACGGGTGTCTTCTATTCTCACTGATTTCCTGGTTCCTAGAATTTCAGTTTGTAATATATGGGGGAAACTTTAGGAATAGAGATTCTGTGGAGCAATCACCACTCACATCTAGAAACAACCCATACGCTACTGCCATTTGCCTGCTATTTTTGCTGTGCTGCTTAAACCGTGACTGAAGCATCTTCAGGAGGAAAGAGTTGATTTGGCTTAAATGATCCAACCATGGTCTGCAGTGATATTTTGTTTGTATTTTAATACATGAATCTTGCCTGAAGATCAGAGAATAAATCAGCCACCCTGGCCACACAGTGGTGACACACACCTTTAATCACAGTAACCACGCTAGTTTGTCATAGAAACTGGGCGGTAGTGGTACACACCATTAATCCCAGTCTTAGAAAGGAATATAAGAGGGGAGGAGAGGAGACAGTTCTCAGACACAATTCTGAGGATTCCTGGAGGCAGGATTGCCATTTTGGACTGAGATAGAAGTGAGAGCCAGTGGCTGGCTGTTTTTATTTGCTGACCTTCAGGTTGAACTCCAATATCTGTCTCTGGGTTTTTATTAGTCATGTCCCCATTAATGAAAGCCAAGTCATGAACCCAATGGCAGAAACTTGAAGCAGACACCATCGAACATCACTTACTGACATGCTCAGCTTGCTTCCTTACACAACCCAGGGACGATGCCCAGGGGGGCACCATCCACACTCTGCTAGCTAGTCTTCTGTCAACTTGATACATAACTATATATAGTTATTTGAAAGGAGGGAAACTTAATTTAAAAAACTGTCTCTATAAGATCTGACTGTCAGGAATTGTCTTTATTAGTTATTGATGGGGAATGGCCCCCAAAATGGGGGGCGGTGCCATCTCTGGACTGGTGGTCCTGGGTTTTGTAAGCAAGCAGGATGACGAAGCTATGGGAAGTTGAGCAGTAAGTGACTTCCCTCCATGGCCTTTGCATCAGATCCTACTCCCAAGTTCTAGCCCTGCTTCAACTGTTCTGACTTCCTCCAATTACGGACTATGATCTGGGGTATAAGCCAAATAAACCCTTTCCTCCCCAACTTGCTTTTGTGTGACGGTGTTTCATTGCTGCAATGGAAGCCCTGACTAAGATGCACATTAATCATTCATCAAAAATGCTGTACACACATGCCAGTCTGACAAACATAATTCTTCAGATGAGGTTCCCTTTATTCTGGCTATTGTTTTCACTGACCATTCCAATGTGTTACTGCACAGGTAGCATTAAGCCTTACTGCTCAGTGCCTGTGTTCTACCTGGATGTCTTAACGGTTCCTTGCTACAAACCTATTTGTAGATCTATTCTCATTTCAACTTAAGAGATAAAGACTGGAGGAACAAACAATAACCAGAGTAACAAACTGCCCAAGGTAATTCACCTAGGGTGCCATGTAATATTATGAAGCAACTCCTTACATAGTTCATTATGGGGATCCGAATCTGCATTCACTCCCAACCTGGCCCAAATTTTACCTCATTAATATTCTCATTCATTTATTGCCAAGACCTGAGGGAAGAAGCACCTGCTGAAAACATATTTTGGAATTTTACATTGTTGTATTCTGGGGAAGGGGAGACTCTCCTACGCACGGCTGCCATCGCTCCACTTTCAAACATTTGTTTTAAAATAAAATCTCAGGGTTTCTTAGATAAGCAAACAAAGAGCTCCCTGCGTAGCTGGCTCCTGATGGTGTTTCTAATTGTGGCGGGATCATCTGTGGAAGTGTGCTGCCGCGTTTGTGCAGAGAGGCTGAGAGGCACGAGGGAATGGGGAGTAGACGGACGTTAAACACAAACAATGTGCGTTTTTTGACCTATGGTACACTCCTAAGATCTACCTAATACTCAGTCTTTTGACAAATGGCCTTCTATTTTTGTGAATTGTTCAATCTCAAATTCAGCGCAACTTAATCCAATCTTGGTCATAATCTGACAAATTCTCTGTTTTCTAGGGTGAGTATTAGCATGCCGGATTGCTTGAAGATGGACTTTATTAACAATAACAGCAATAAAATTAAATGATAAAATAAAATGAAAATGGCCAACCTCAGAAAAAGCAAGTGCCTTCTCTCCACACTCTTTCCCGTTCCTTTCACCCTTGCTCAAAGACTGCCTATGCACCCCCATCCCCACCCCAATAAACTTCTCACGAGAGCTCTGGTGTGCAGTGTGACTTTGTGGTGCCCCTTGGCTTCAGTCCCCCAAGGTGCCTCCCACTGTTAAATCATTACACTCATCTCTTAGTAGCCACAAGGCACTGGTTCCAGGCTTCCTCCTGATACCATTCTCAGGTGCTGATGTTGCTTATTTATATATGACAGTGCAGTATTTCTTTACTTTAAACCATTCCTGGATTGAATATGATAACTCATCTTATGTAAATAGTTGTGAGACTGAACTGCCGGGGGAATAATGACAAGAAAAACAGCCTGTGTACATCTAGAACAAATGAATTTTTCCATATTTTTTTAATCCAAAGTTGGTTGAATCTATGGATGCAGTGCCTATACATAAGGAGGCCTGGCTAAATACATGTGTGTGTATGTATAAATATATATATATACACACACACAACTATTTTCTAAGTGTTAAAATGGAGCTACGATTTTATATTTGTATTATGATTTAAATGCAGGCAGTCCTTCAAGAATTAGAGAAGACAAATGAGTCTGTTTTAGGTTCCTTGAGCAGAATTTCTTCTAGTCAGTAGTGAGCAATGAAGATGCACCTAGGAGGGAATCCCAGATGGAAATATTTGGATGGAATGTTCTATAGATGTCTGTTAAGTCCATTTGAGCCATAACATAAGTTAGTTCACTTATTTCTCTGTTAATTTTCTGTTTGGCAGTCCTGTCCAGTGGTGAGAGTGGGGTGTTGAAGTCTCCCACAATTAGTGTGTGGGGTTTAATGTGTCATTTAAGCTTTAGAAGTGTTTCTTTTGCATATGAGGGTTACCTTGTATTTGGGGCATAAATGTTCAGTATTGAAATTTCCTCTTGATGGACATTTCCTGTGACAAATATGAAATGTCCTTCTTTGTCTCTTTTGATTGATTTTACTTTGAAGTCTATTTTGTTAGATATTAGAATAGCTATGCCAGCTTATTTCTTAGGTACATTTAATTGGAAATCTTTTTCCCAGTCCTTTACTCCGAGGTGATGTCTGTCTTTGAGGTTGAGGTGTGTTCCTTGTACTCAGCAAAAAGATGGTTTCTGTTCTCATATCCAGTGTGTTAGCCTGTGTCTTTTTATAGGTGAGTTGAGCCCATTTATATTAAGGAATATTAATGACCAGAGATTGCTAGTTCCTGTTATTTAAGCTTTTGCTGTTAGTGATGTTATTGTCTGTTTTTTTTTTTTCTCTTCTTTGTGATTTGCTGCTGTGAGATCATCTATTGTCTGTGTGTTTGTGGATGTAGCTAACTTCCTCATTTGGAGTTTTCCTTCTAGTACTTTATGTAGGGCTGTGTTTGTGGCTAGTATTTGTTTGTTAAATCTGGTTCTGTCCTTGAATTTTGTTTTCTCCATCTATGGTAATTAAAAGTTTTGCTGGGTATGGTAGTCTGGCCTGACATCCATGGTCTGTTAATGTCTGCATAATGCTTGACCAGGACTTTCTGGCTTTTAATGTTTCCATTGAGAAGCCAAGTGTAATTCTGATAGGTCTGCCTTTATATGTTACTTGATCTTTCTCCTTTGCAGTGCTTAATATTCTTTAGCCACTACATTTAGTTTTTTGATTTTTTTGTGACAAGAGGACTTTTTTTGTACAGTCTGTTTGGTGTTCTGTAAGCTTCTTGCATACATATCTTTCTTTAAGTTGGGAAAGTTTTCTTCTATGACTTTGTGGAATATATTTTCTATGCTTTTGAGTTGAGCTCCTCCTTCTTCTACCTACCCTTATTATTCTTAGGTTTGGTCTTTTCTTTCACGTTTGATTGTCTTTTCTTGGTTTTTCTTAAGGAATTTGCTGCTTTCTTCCATTCTTTGTTTGCCTTTTCTTCCTTTTCTTTGAGAGAATTTTTAATTTCTTCTTTAAGGACATCACTCTTCTAAAGTTATTTTTAAGTTATTTTTTTTTCTGCTTCATCTGTACTGCGGTGTTCAAATTTTGCTGTTGTAAAGTCACTAGTTTTTGGTAGTGTGTTGTCCTTTGTGGTGTTGAGTGTGCTCTTACTTTGTCTATCCATCTTTTCCTAATTGGTGTAGCTGGGGCCGTGTCTCTGGTGATCAATCTTCCAGGTGCCAGAGGATTCAAGGTTCAGATAGTTGGTCCTCATGATGGAGTTGAGGCCATAGTTTCAGTCACCCCAGAGGTGGCTCCGTGTTCCCAGAGGTTGCTCTGCAATCTTGGATGTCATTTAGGCCTGCTCCCACGGAGGTCACTGGCTTGGCTCTGGTCCCACAGAGGTTGCTGTCTCAGGCCTGCTCCAGTGGAGTTCGCTGGCCTGGGTCTGGTCGGACAGAGGTCACTGGCTCAGGCCTGGTACTGCAGAGGTCACTGGCTCACCTAACCTTTATTTCTTAACAGAAGTCACTGTCGAAAGAGTTTGACATTTACTATATCAACACCGAGTCAATGTTTTCAGGGGTACTGATGAACTTAAGACACAGTTTTAAATTTTTACATTTGAATTTGTTAAACATTAGTTTATGGGAAGAACTGCAGCCAATTGCTGTTGTTTTAACCAAGTTCACCTGAAGAAAGCCCGATCTCCCACACCGCTATCTAATAGCTGGGCTATTTGTGAGATCCTTGCCGGCATGATTCTCCCAGCATGTGCAGGCATGTGCAGAAATCTCATTGATCAGCAGCATGGTTTTCATGATGTATTCATTAGCTTTCTCCACATGGACATCTACTTTTCATTTTAAAACAGGAGTTGCGGAAGAACTCACAGCAGTCTCTTCAGTCAAGGACCCAACATCCACCTGATTCCAGTTCCAGGGTTTAAGGGTTTTTTTTTTTTTTATTTCTCTGATGCCCTATCTCATTCTGTTGTATCTGACAGTGTGTCCTGTAGCCTCTAAGCCCAGTGTAAATTATAAAATTATGAATTTGATTGTTCCTCCAACTGGCCTTGTTCTTTTATTTTCTAGGACAACTGTAATAGCCTCCTAACTGAATTCCCTACTTCTCCTCTCTCGACTTTCTGATATCTGCTTTCTATATGGAGACCATTTCGCTCTCTATTCACTGACCTTCACTGATTTTCTAACATTTCTTACTTGGCACACAGAACTGCCCGGAAGTCTTGTTTTTGTCTTTTCCTCCAAATGAACTTCTTACCACCCATCTTTTCTGGTCAGTTCTCATCAGCACCTATGAACTCCTTCTCTGCTTTGAAATTGCCAAGCTCATAGCTGCACTAGAACACTGGCACATGTGATCAATCTTCAGCCACATACCAGCTGAGCGCTTCCTTTCCTAAGTTATTTCTTAACCAGCATATTGTTGCAGTATTCACAGATTTACTTTACTAAGGAAATTCGGCTCGGAAAACACAGTTGGCCAGCTGAGAATGATGGGGGAACAAGCACAAGCATTGGAAATGACATAGATGTATAAAAATTTTGTAAAGAAACATTATTTTGTCCAATAAATGTATGGCAAAAATGTAAAGTCACTGCTGGGCACACAACTCACTGGTTACACATGCACTTAGCATGCTCAGGCCCTGGGTTTAATCCTTAATATATAATATTAATATATTAATTTGTAATATATTCATAAATGAGAATAAATACCAATATAAAAAAATTTGCTACCACCATACTGCCAATTTTGTTGTGATACAGTTGCTGCTCCCTTAAAATTTCTATTACGAACTGTCATGGTTGATCTTGGATGTTGACTGGAACAGAAATCACCCAAAAGGGTTCCAGGCACCTTGCAAGGCAATTTCTTCAACAAGTTAATTGAAGTGGGACTATGACCCTAATGTGGACATTAGCTTCCAGTGGCAGCCCAGATAAAAGTGATAGAAGAGAGTTTTGTGTTTTGCCTGATCACTCTACTCTTGATAGTACGTTTATAATCTGCTGCAGCTGGGACATTTCTTTGCTAATGTCAGAACCCAGCTGCTTTAGATTTCTACTGTGGGCTATAGGCCAGTCTTGTGTAACAATTTCTTCTGAGATTAAAGCATGTCCATCTTGAAGGAAAATGTCTTAGGAGAAGATTACACAAGGAGGTGAAATAACAGGATGTTCTAAGGGGAGGTGAAATAGACAGGAAGTAGACAGCTCCAATAGCTTCAGGATGTTCCGGAAACTGATCAGATTCACTAGGCCTCTCCATTACTGAGGGTATTCAAATAGTGAAGACTGCCCAGTAGAGACTTTTAGACAAGTCCAGCTGCCTGGAAGATGGAGAGGACAGAACTATTGAGAGACAAAGACCAGCTGAGCTGCCTGGAAGAGGCTCAGACCAATTGAACCACCCTGGAAGGACACTCTGCATCCAGTTGAGCTGCTTGAAGGGTGTGCAGTGTATTCCAAGTTCCTAGCTTTTGTGAGCGGTCACTCACACTGGGGTAAGTGTGGTGCAGCTCTCTTTGAGTCATTCTGCTTCTGTAAGTGACCGCTCACCCCCAGCCCTGTAAGGAAACCGAGACAACTCATTCATTCACTAAATTGGATTTTGGTGGTATCTTTCATGGATCCTCTATCCGAGGTGAGTAGATTCCGTGTTTCACCTCCCCAGGAAAAGTCAGTAATATAATGCTATTCCTCAGTAATTCTCTAGACCTTCAGTGACAGAGTGAGGTCACCTAAATGTGCTCAGTCTTGTAGACTGAGCGTCAACTGTTCTCAGCCTCTCCTGTGTGTGTCAGCCATGGTTGGACTACCAAGACTGCATCGTGTAAGGCAATCTAATAAATCTCGCTTTCCTCTACATTTACACTATCAGCTCTGATTTTCTAAAGGATCCTGACTAATATACAAAGGTATCAAGTTTTATTTTAGCAAGCCAGTGGGATGATGAGAGCATTTGGGAGGTCGAGGTAGAAGAACATAAGACTGCAGTGAGAATCTATTTACTCCAAGCTGGAGACTGGCAATGCCAAGGCTTCTAGAGGCGGGGTGGTGCCAACAAGCAACAAAGAGTGGTAGTTGTTGAGAATGCTGACTTTGGGCTCAGTGGTCTGGGTTCAGATGCATACGTTACCCTGACCTGCACGAGACAATGACAGCACTTATCCAATGACTGTACCTGTTTCACAGAGGCACTGTAGGGATGAAGTCAGTTGGTATGGAGGTTAAAAAGTACCGTCTGATTCACAAAATCGGCTTCTACTGTGGAGCACAGAACCTTCCATAGAGAGATGTAAAATTGATGCTGAATGTTTTAGCATTTCTAGAATACTCACTGTCAGGAAGGATTCACCTTCCAGTCACTCTAGAACACTAAAAAGAGACAAGGAAATTGGTGTAGTGCTCTTTGGAAACAGAGAAATAACTGTGGGAAAAAGAGAGGCAGCTTCAGAAACGAGAGATGAGAGGATCCGAGAATTAAACTATGCTGAAGTCTTCAACTACTTAGGGATTCAGCTAGAAAATCTCTTGTTTTCAATTTGGTCAGAGTGGTCAAATTCTGGACAACCTGAGCACTCTAGAAGAACGATGGTCAGATATTCCCATGGAATTTCCTCAGAAACAGTCTCAGGGGGATTTGATGGGGAGAAGGTTAGAAAGAGGGTAGAAGAAGAGAGGGAATAGCAAAGGAAAAAGGAGAATGACAGAGACAAGGTCTCAGAGGATCTCTACTGCACATGGATAGCACCGTGAGAAAGAAAGAGTTATGGAAAAGCTGTTTTGTAAGCTCTCATTCCAATTACTGCTTCTAGAGAAGGCCAGAAGTTTATGTTCAATCACTGTGGAACATGTGTGAGCCTTAGGTTCATCTTTGGAAGCAGAGGATTAAACCACAAGTTACTTCCAACCACAAAAGGCAAAGATCTAGCTGCCAATATCTTAGTGTAACCATGAGTAAGACAGCTTGACAGTACAGGAAGAATCAAAAAGTGGGCAACCGCTGTGACCGATAGTCAAATTGCATATATTGATCACACTCAAATCATTTATCCTACAGCTAACATGAAGACTGAAATTTCAGAACATGGTCAGTTGCACAGGGAGTCATGGAGTTGGCCTGGCCTAGCTGCTTTGAGAGGCATGTGTCATAGGTTTTTCAGGTTGGAGTCAGGCTCCTGGGGCACACAATGTGCCTTCCCGTTCCTGAGAGACTAATGGACTCCCTCATGCAGTGATGTGTTCAGGCCACGTTGTGTTTCTCTGTGTATTTCGTTAGTGGTCAAGCAAGCATGACAGGACAGTTGGTCTCAGACATTAATTTTGTGTCCCCTGTATGACTTGCAAATGTCACTGTATCCTGGCAACTACAACTGTATTGATCCTGGCAATTGCCACTATCTTCTGTTTCTGATAAAGGCATAAACATTCTGATTGCACTCAATAATATTGTCATAGCCTCGGTTGTGCTGTGGCCCCTCCAACCAGCCAGATCAGGTGATCTTGACCTGGTAAGTAAGTACAGGCACTTAAACAACTGTACAATTATATTGCCTGAGATTTGAAAATAACACACTATGTCAATGCGGTGTGTGAGGGGCTGAGTAGACTGGGAGACTAAAAGAACAAACTAACCAAAGCACATGAAATTTTAAAAAGACTTTGAAATGGAAAATATTAGGAATAATGAGAAAAGTTGAAAGGATATTTATAGGTATTTGTTGTTTTTCAATGTGAAAGTATGCTTTTTTTTCCCTGTAATGCCCAGTGTAAACTCAGGTGTATAGTGTCATGGTGTCATAGTGTCTGTAAATCCCTTTTCAAAGGCCCAGAAAATATGGCTAATGTATCTATGACTGTGTGTGTGTGTGGGAGACAAAGCATGCATTTTTCAAGAATTAAAAATCAGTAGCCATAAGAGGTGAACAGGTGGGTACTCCTGTTCTATTCTTTCAAACTCTGCCTATTTTGAAAATGTCCTAAATTAAAGCAGACCTATGAGGAAAGCGAAAGTGGAGCAGTTCCTTACCTGTTGCATTCTGTGCCCCTGCCAGCCTCGCTCTGATCAAGCCGTGTCTCTCTTTGAGGCGAAGAATCCGCACTTTTGGAAACTGAGACATGTATTTATCCAAATCAGCTTTTAGGTAGTCTGTATCAGAGTAAGAACAAGCACAGGATACTTTAACTAGGTTTACCAGCGGTGTCTTTGCAATGTCAAATTCAAAGCTATGATGTCTTTTTTTTTTTTTTTTTTTTTTTTTGAGAGTGGATTTCACTATATAGCCCAGGCTGGGTTTGAACTCTTGATTCTCCTGCCTCTGCCCCCAGATACTAGGATTACAGGTATATGCTACCACATCAGATTTTTTCAGAATATATTTACAGCTCACTTTTCACTAATTTTGTGGATGTGAATTTCGTTTTTGTTTGTTTCGAGACAAGTTTTCTCTGCATATCCAGGCTGGCCTTGAACACAGAGGTTTACCTGCCTCTGCCTTCTGAGTGCTGGGATTAAAGGTGTATGTGTCCCCACCACAAACTGGGTGTGTATAGTTTTCTTAAAGAGGACCCAGAAACTGTACGAGATTCAGGGTCCACAAAAAACTCATCCAAAAGAGACTTCATCAAAGGTCTCCTTTTGCTTGGTAGCCTGCTGCTATTTCTCTGTATGTTATTTAAGATCACTTACTAACGTTTTCAATTCTCTTCTGGCATCTTATTGCTGCTTGAGTTCACTGTGATTATTGTAGTAACAACAGAACCATAGAAAGCACATGTATCACTGGCGTTACAGATCAAGGCTCAGCTGTTTCTTTGACATCACCATCCATTTGCTGTTCTTGCTAGTTCAAAAAATGGGTAAAAATTTGGGAATTCCCATTGTGGCATCACTAGGCCTGTGGGACTTCCTATATACAGAGAAAATTTGGTAATGTAAAGAGCAAAATTCTTCGATGTGGGAAAGAAAACAAAACTTAAAAACTGTGGAGACTCCTGCTTCCAGACTGCACTAGAACCATTATCTTTCTGATCCTTTGAAAATGTGTCTTCTCCATGCTTAACCTCACATGGGATCTTCCTTATTCTTTAGAAGAAGCCAGGGAACTTCCATTTATTTGCTTTCCATAGAGTTTAACTTGGCTACTGACAGTAGAAGAATAATTCTATTAACAGAGTGGACTTTGTTCATTACAGTCCATGAAATATGACTTATTCATCATCTTCTAGACTCAAATGACCAGCTCAGGGAATGGCAGCACTAAAATCACCCCTACAAAGCAGAGGACTCACAATGGGAATGGGTAAGACATTCCCGGGATGACCAGTGAGTGATATAGTCTTAAAGATGTGTTTGCGGCATGCATGGGTGTTTTACCTGTGTGTCTGAGTACTGTAAGCATGCAGTGCCAATTGAGGCCAGAAGAGGGTAGTAGCTCCCCTGAAACTGCATTTACACAGTTTTGTGCTGGGAATTGAAGCAGCATCCCTTGAAAGAACAGCTGGTGCTCTCACTTGCTAAGCCATGTGTCCAGCCTCAGTTAGTAATATGTGATCAGCACTTAGATTGGTTTCTGTGGCTCCACATGAAACAATAATTTGGCATTTACAAATACTTAAGCTTCATCCAATTGTCTTCTGACCCCCAACTACTGTTGCCCTCCTTCCGTCAAGCTTTAATGTCCCAGGGGGATCCAAGGCAGGCTTTACCTTTGGTGCTGAAGTCATCCACCAGCAGAATCTCCTTGATGAGATGTGGAGGGGAGCGATTGAGGACGCTGTGCACGGACCTCAGGAGAGCGGACCACACCTCATCTACAAAGCACATGATGATGCTGGTGGTGGGGAGGTCATTGTGAACCAGCTGCTCTGCACACCTGGGCCAGGGAATAAGCACAGCTGAGGAGATACGCCACTGAGATCACAAAGGGTCCTAAATAATCTCTCTGTGTGTGCACACACATGCATCTATCGTCACCGGCTTATATGTGTACCAGGATCATTTTATATGCCTCAACAATAGTGTTTGTTGAAATGATTAACAATGACAGACTCGATCTCTTCTTTGGTGGTGTAGACTGCACTGAAGAGGATAGGGGCTTTGTAGGTTAGATTCTATTTTAATCCTACCACCAAGATACTAACCTCAATACTAACCTATGTATTCTTTCTGTGCCTCAGTTTTTCACATCTGCCAAACAAAGTGATGGCCCTCTAAGAGAGTCTAATGAACTGTATAGAAACCGCCTACCATAGTTCCTGGCACAGGCATTCACTGAACGGTAGCTATTGCTACCATTATTAAATAATATACCAGAAGAAAGCATTCTGAGTTATTTAGTGTTACTAAGTAGTTTAGGACTGCCTGTATACATAGCCATCTGCAAATGCCAAAAGAGATATCCTTCACCCGACTCAGCATATGAATGTATTTATGGTACAATGTACATGTGCCAAATAATCACACTCTTTCCCACTTCTCTATTTGGAAGCTCCTTGCTGTGATGACTGCAGAGTGGCCATACTTCAAGTCGTTTTGCTGGCACAGAAATGAGAGCCAGTCTAAGAAGGAGCAGGTGCTCCATGGGCTCCACCTGGCCATGGTTTCCTACAGGCTCTGCAGCTCACGCTGCCTCACTATGGCATTTTCTGGGTCTGGTCTGGGTCACTGTTCCAGGACAGCTCCTAGCAGGACCTTCCAAATTATATTAGCCATTCTGCTAACACGCCTCCTCTTGGTAACATAATAATCAGTGATGAAGGTCAATAAATACTCAAGTGCTCTGACGTATTTCACTGTAAGATTCTGACCTCTTTCCCCTTTAACCCATTAATGGCTGAAGTCACGGACAGACTGGCTCTTGATTATTTTAGTAAGTTCCAGAGCTGGGACGGCAACTCCGCTTCACCCAGGCTCTAGAAGTAACCATGGAAGTTTAAATCCCCAGAGTAAAAATAGCTAGCAGTCGATGCAGCATTTGTGAGAACCAGAGCTTTTGCTAAGTATCATGGCTCAGTTCTGTTTACTTAATGAATATGAAGACACAGATAAAAGCAAATGCTATGGTCAAACAAACAACATTTGCTCGTTTTTTTGTTCATGGTTGCCAAAGTACCATTGTGAACCTAATTTAATTCCATACCATGGCGATTGCCTGAGATGCAGTTGTGTAATGTATTGTCACATACTTCTTTAAATGGGGCAAAATGAAGCATGAGATGATCAATGACTCACCCAGTCTCATTTACCTAGTTAGACCATACATGGGAATGTAAAATGATGTAGTTTTCATTTCATTGGCCTACAATGCTCTTCTGCACTAATAGAGTGTGGATCAGGAATCAAATAAACATATGGTCACATATCACTTATCTCCAATTACTTGCTTGGAGAAATTGCATAACTTCTTTGAACTTTAACTTGCCAACTACAAAGCAGGGATTAAAAACTTTTCTTACTTAAATATATATCTGACACAGAGCTTTCTCAGAAGAAATACAAGCAAACCCACCATGGTCTATAATTTCAGTCTTTCCCCAAGGCAGTTGGTTAGCATAATAACCAAAAGACCTTGGGAAAACATACATCCAACCTTCCGCCCCAGAAAACAGACTCAGAAAGTTTGCACAGAAATTGAGAATCTTTGTCATAAACAAAATAAGAGACAGAGGAATGACTCACAAGTCACTGATCCGTCAGTGGGGGAATGCAGGTTCTTACGTAAAGCTAATTCAGTACCCTCATAATATGTGATTACACTTAAGAAAACACTGGAGAGCTGAAATGAACATGTACTATATTTTCAGGTGCTATAAAGTCAAAATAACACATTTCAATCAGACGTCTTAATATGATTCGAACGCTAATGTAAAATAACAGCCTGCCTAAATTAATCGTATTCTGCACAAACAAAACCTGCATTGGAATTTCTATAAAGAATGAGCATTTCTGACTACATTTAAGGATTATATTAATTACCCGTGGTTGCTGTAACACCTACGATTTCTGCTCCACAGCTTCTCCTGATTTGCCTAGCCTCTCTCACATTTTGCTTCAAGGGGAAAGAAGCTACCAGGCCAACCCTTCAAAGCTGTGCTTGCTGCTCTCCTTAACAAATGTCCAAGTTCATCACTTTCAGCTTCTGCTCATATTTATGACAGAGGACACAATTCAGCCATGCTCCCTACTGCTATGTAACAAACATTACGTCTCCGCAGTTACCCATCACCAGCTGCTCAATCCCTGCAAACATTCAAAAGAAACACTTCCAGTGCCCGTATTTTGACCAATATCTTCTCATGATGACATCATGTTCCCAGAGGTGATAGAAATGTCCTCTGCAGAGAGCTTTGCTTTCTTCCGGACCTCGCTGGCATTCTTAGCATCCATGTTGTTTCTACTGACAGTTTCATTTTCTGTTATAGTTTCAAATTCTGCCAGTCTCTGCCCTCTATTTTCCAATTAAAAGTTTGGCCACACAGTATTCAACTTTTTATTATGTAGGGAACTGTTGCAGACTGTGGTAATTAATAAGTAAATATGCCCCTGAAGAACCATTGCCATTGGTCCACCCCAAGGACTTAAGAGGCTAAAGCAGGAAAGAGCTTTTATTTGGGAGGGGCAACATGCCTATATATCTTTAAATATGGGATTCACCTTCCCTCCAACTCAAAGCTAGGTTTACTTATAAGTAAGAGAAATGTTGAATTAGTCATTTATTCCCTCAATTTTCTTTCTTTCCTTTTAAAAACCACGTTTGGATCTTCTTTAAAGTTTATAATTTTTACAGAAATCCAATAGAATATTAATTGTAATACTTTGCCATGAATTAAGTATTGATACTCAAATTTAGGAAAGAAAAAGGAAAAAGAAAGACACCAATTACAGGTTTGCCAAGTACTGATAAAAAATGTAGTTGACTGTATAATTACCAACAGTTGAAGGAGAACTTTGGAAAAAATGATAAATTCTGGATTTTATTTTCTAAGGTAGTTTATAGCTCTAAGGTCAGGTTTCAGCTCTCAGAAAGTGTGGCGGTGAGCAAGAATGGTTGGAGTGACAGTGCAGTGAGTCCCTAGGAGGGAATGAGTGGCGCTGGAGTGCAGTGATTAGTTCAAGCCCGATACCGTGTAGCTGGCTGTGTATGAACAGGCAGTGCTGTGTAGTCGGCCGTGTAAGCAATCTGTAAAATGGAAGCAGGAAGCAGCTATGAGGGAGGGGGTGAATTTGTCAGCCTCTTTTTCTCCCTTCCCTGAGAGATGAAACCATATGTATACGTGCGAGGGATGGTACAGGGAGAATTAAGAGCTGGCCAAAAATACCAATGATTGTCAAAATTTTCAGTGGGGTGGGCTTTCCTTTCATTGGTTAACAACCTTAAGTGCGGTTGAAGCAACTGACGTGTCTAGTCTCTTTAGGTCATTCAATATTTTCCTGCTCTCCTGAGATTGTATACACTTCTGATTTTCACCCCCTTTTCAGGCTCATTTTTCTTCAGTTTCTTTCTTAGCCCCCACCTCAGTTCTTCATAACTATTAAGAAGGGAGAGCTGAGTGGGTGACCCAGCATTAGGTCACATACTTTTAGGAACCTGATCTTCTGCATCAGTTAAACATGTGCCAAGTGTCTACCAAGCAGCTTTCTTGTTGCCTATTTCCAGGCACAGTGGGCCAGGGTAGACAGCTTTCAGTACTAGTAACATCTGTCCCTGATACAAGTAGCCACATCCACCCAGTTTCATGGAGATTCCATAGGTTGCCAAACCACTTCAAACTGTTCTCCCCTGACCCAAGGAAAGCGAATTATCTTTGTTTCTGATTTGTCAGAGTCTTGATTTCTGCTACTTTTGCAGGCAAGGGAATAGCCACAGAAATCCAACTTATATGCATGGTATTTGGGTTTGTGGGATTTTTTTCTGAGACTAAGAATTGATGATTTTATTAAAAATAGTTTATTACACAAACTAGGTGTTTAGAATCTACAAGTCCTGGTCTCTGCTTGAAATTATTCAGATTCATTGTCTTACAGGGTGTGGGATCTAGGTTTGGATCAGTGAGGCAATCCAAAGACTAGAGATTATGGGGACCTCAAATGTGACGGCTCTCATCACCTGAAGGAGCTAATGCAAGACTGTGGGAGGGGAAAGGCTTGGGATGCAGAAGGACAATGAAGAGATAAGTTTTGGTCCCCTGTGGTACCGGCTGGTGATGTAAGTATCAGCATGGCACCTAATCTTCAGAACCTCAGATCATTCATATTTAGGGTGAAGATTGTGACGCTTGCATCACAAAAAATTTATGCAGGTTTTATGAGACAGTGGGTATAAAAATACTGGGCAGGCATCACTCAGAAAAGTCTGTGTGAGAACTTGGAAGAGCTCTCTCTCTAAGACTCACAGTTTCTTTCTGACTCGAAGCTCTGCCCTGCCTCAAGCAGGCTTTAATCTGAATCTACCAAGTGCCCGTTCATTTATCAAGAGACTCCAAAAGTTGATGGCTCACCTTCTCAGCTTCTGTGTGCTCAGTCCTTAGCCACCGACTTGATTTGAATGGAGCCTATCAAATCCGGACTGTTTCACATCAGAACACTGAAGGAACGATAACATTCTCTCATTTCTATGAATTTTTCATTTTATTCCAGCAGAGGCAAAACCGCATCATGTGGGTCAAATCTCAGTCTTTATGGGTTTGAACAGAAGGTCGGAAGAATGTGTTTCAACTTCCATTTGCAATTCAACTACAGCCTCCATGGGAGCCTTGAGCGGCCTTCACTCCCCACACTCTGCTATCTTCCGGAGCATCAGGAGAATCGCGCAGCCAGCTGCAATGCACGCTGTCAGGAATTATATTCTTTCCTCAGACCTTAAAATTATTTGAG